CATCAACTGCAAAAGCGTTTGGAACATTTCACGAATTGTTATTACATCGTTTGCTAGTTTTTCCATTTTGGCACACCTAGAATCGTCTGCTCATCAAATGGCTGGCTCGGGATGCTCGCTGATGCTATGAGTAGACATAGGCTGACGGGCTGACTGTTGGCACGACACACGTGCCAAAGTCACTTTTGATATAACTACATGATGGCAGCACTTAATATGCCCCTCAGTTGTTTTGGGGTCTGGGCCTGCGTGCATGTCCGTCTACTCGCTCACAGCTCACAGCTCCCAGACGTGACGAGGACGGACAATACGCGCTATATTCCGTCTGAGAATGATGCCTGAACTCATTGTCATGTACGGCGCATAAACAGCAACTGGGCGGGCCAAATAGTGAGTAGCAGCGAGAACTGAGAATACTCAATACGACCATTTGAGTCGCAGGCATGCCCGCAACAAGAATACGCACCGTACACCGTATGCTTTCATTGGAAGCATAACAAGCTGCAAAGTTGTCTACCAAAAACATTAAACAAAGCAGTTGCCGAGCTGTCGGTCTGAGGACTCTTAAAATACATATTACAGTCAGCAGACAAACAATGAAAATTCGCAGCTGGTGGCCTCTCCACCGTAATTGAGCTGACACAGCGTGAGTTCGTTACATAACTAGCACAACTGCTGTCAAGTAAATAAAATGCGACAATAATATCTTACACTAGCGTAGAGACTCACACTAAACAATGCAATCAGATTACCTGAATTTCGTTTGAAATTCTGTTATTAATTAATTCAGCAGAAGTTTTATAACATTAAATAAACTGAGAACAATGCAAAACGCATGTTTAAATATTGTGTATACATACGACGCATCATAAATAATTGTTTTGTGCTTACGGTAAGCAAACCGATTCCTTAATCGACGAATCCTTGCTAAATAAAACAATAATTCAATTCATTTTATCACGAATCGATACAAACGAGTTCCGCCTTTACATTTACTAAATTTTAATTAACTACCTAAATTTTATATTTTATATCTATGTACAGGTTATCTTCTAGTCGAGAACTCTCATCCGATCTCTCTCTCTCTCTCTCTCTCTGAGTGTCTCTCTCCATTCTCCTTGTTCGACCTATTCACTTTCAGAGACAAAGAGTGTGTTGACCATTGGATTGCAATTGAGTTAACATATTAAATTCATTAGAAATGCAAATCAACTGGCGAAGTCTTCAAGTTCAATATGGCCATAAAATTCATAGCGGGTGTGCGCAGCACGGAAAGGCCAGTAGACCAGGTGATAGTCGAGCCAAATGTTGTTTAGTTTGTTAACCCGTTTTAAGCCTGAGGCCAACGTCCAAATGCAGTAACCTTTAGCGGCGCGTCGCTCAACTGCCAGATACGTTGGGCCTTCTTATTTTATTTTATTTTATATTTTTACTGCGCCCACTCTATATGAGTTTGCACGACGTATACGCACTCTGTGCTCAATTTATGACATCCAGCGAACTTTCATATGCATATACATACATGTAATGCTTATACATACCGACACGGTTATGGGTGTGTGCGTGAGTGGGTGCTTTATTTTCTAATTACAGCACATGCACAAGAGAGTGTGTGTGTGTGTGTGTGTAATTAGTGTTTTGTATGTTTATATTAAAAGCCGTCGCGTTCACTGCTTAATAAATTAAACGACAATTTGCACATGCAGAAGTCGCTCGCTGGTTGTCAATGTTGTTGTTGTCATTAGACAGTTGTTGCTGGTGCTGGTGCGGGTGCCGTGGGTGCTGCTGTCAGTGCTCGTAAAGTGCTGTTTAGCCGCTGTCCTTACTAGCAACCAAGTTTGAAAAAGCCGCCGCGTTGGCATAGGACGCCGAGGACATTAAGCATGGGCATTATGTGTAGGCATGTTTGCAATTAAAATAAAAAGCGGGGCACAAGTGTCAGCTGCAGCTGTGCCACTCTATGTCTGTATGTATGTGTATATGTATGTTGTAAGCCCTGTACTATGTTTATACATGCATAGATATCCTTAGCTACGACTAAGCCTAAGACTCGTCCTTATTTAGACCACAAAAATAAGTTATTGCCTACTTGTGGGTGCTGAGACGCTCGCAATAAGCTTCGTATTTATGTGCGCACTTTTTGTGCCCCATGTGCTTTGTTTTGTGGGCAATAGGGTATATATCACTTTAGTACCCGCGTCACACAGATTAACTGCTCCATGAATAGGGTATATTACAGTTGTGCATATTTGCATATGCCTTGTGCTGTAACTTTGCGATTTGCTGTGGTCATTTTGCGTTTGAAATGTTGACAAAAAATGCACATATTCTGAATTTTTTAAATATTTATTAAATAAATAAATAATTGTCTGCCAATTTATCAAAAAATCAGCAACATCGAATCATCGATACTTGATTGTTCACACAAAACGCTTTGACCGTTATGGTAAATTGATAAATAAATTGGCCTGATATAAACAAATTGGCAATAATTTGATTTGATGTTATTTTTTGCACAGGTGACGAGTTATTAAAATGTTGTATTTTATGAGCTTAAGTTTACGTTTCAGTTTGGTTTTGATATTATTATTTTATTTATTTTTAGCTTCCAATAATTGCCATAATTTATTTGCATGGCAAATGCGATAAATTTGCATTTTTTTTCTTAAGTCTACGCAAATGTTGTTTAATATTTTGTTCTGCGATATGCGGAAATATTTGCTTAAAAAAAGTCCTTAACTGGCGGCGGCACAAACATTTATGCAAATTCTAAGAAAGAACTAAACAAACTCGTTAAACTGGCGCCACCGACGAGAACAGATTTGCAATTTTTTCAGATAAACTTGATAATTGAGAGAGTTAAGTAATGCTTCAATTTATGGCAAGGCGGTTGTCAAACTTTTTGGCACCCAGCCACTTAAAAGACTCCGCCTATGTTGGCGTTCCCAGATGATTGCATATATTAAAAGGACACAAATATGCTTCTTATAAATATTACTTTTAAAGTGGCTGTGTTTATGGCCAGCTCCTACGCTTTCTGCTACGAAGATTAGATAACTGATTTTTATAAATAAATCGATTGACCTGTGGGACATTAACATAAAACGCTGCTCTCAGCTGGATCCAGGGTCTGGCAGCATTTTATTTATTTATCGATGCGCCAACGTTGTCCAACGACTTTTATCAATTGTTGGAGTGCGTGCGGCGCCCTCTGCTATTTTGTGAACGCTGCTATATTTTTTTGTGTCTTTTTGTTTGGTTTTTATGTTGCTGCTGCGTGCATCTTTTATGAGCGGATGGCGTCCGAGACCTTGAAATTGTAGCTGGTTTATTTTAATATGTTTACATTTATTTAGTTTGCATATGACATTGCCTCCAGCGATAGGCAGCCAAACAACCGAACACCACAAATTCCGAGCATCCCATCAACGCCACAGCAGCGCAGCTTGCTCATGGTTTAGTGGTCTGGGCGGAGCCATAAACAATACGAAGACAAATCAGTTTTGGTTTGAGGCTCGGTCTTTGGCACTGAATCTTGATTGACAACTTCTGAAGCGAAGCCAAACTTTGCTTGGGTGAACAAACACTATCAGCAAAATCATGAATGGAAAGGGAAATGGACAAGTTTCGAAAAGAATTTGTAGAATCAATTAATAGTAGGTAAATCTGTCAAGACTTCACAAAGTTGTCGTTAATATATGGAAAGGAATCCAAATTTTTTGTTACTCATAGCTAATATTGTCCATGATATGCATCAGTTTGGCGCCATTGATTTGCAAGTCTATTCAGTTATCGAAGTTATGGATCTTTCGAATTTTAATGCTGAAATCAAATGAATTATGCAAATGAATTCAACATCAACTATGTTGTTGGCATTTATTTATCTAAAACAGGGCTCCAAAAGTCAAAAACAATAATTTTTATGATATCAATAAAGCATGATGAAAACGTGATAATCGCTGATCAGATTAAATGGTTGTCGCCTGGCGCCAGCTGATTATCGTCGCATAGCTTCAGGTGAAAAACACTTAAAACTTCAAGGTCGCAACGCTTGTTAAGTTTATGGCTTCTATTTTGGCAAGTCAATTGCCTAATAGGCCAACGGGCCAACAAGATCGCTCTTTGAGGGCTAAATGGATGCGCAAAAAATGACAAAAGATTTTAAAATTGATTTCTGTTGGCGGCTACAGGTATTTTATTGGTATTGAGGCCATTGTTTTTGTTTTAACACACTCATTCCTTCGAAAGTAGCCTGATAAACTTTAGGGGTCCCTCACCAAATAATATAACGAAGTTGGACATTCATGCCAAACAACACACTATAAGCGATTGGGAATTTCCAAACTAGAAATCTTTGGCCACATTAAAGTGATTGGGAAGTTTAAAAATAACCACGAACTTGTTTTGATGCGCCGCCAAATCAAAATCGATACCAACACCGATTGGCACCTACTCAACAACTTTTTGCATACAAATATGCATGAAGAAAATAATTTCTATTATTAAATTATCATCGCATCGCAAAATATCGCGTCAACTTGTTTTGCCACTACTGTTGAGCCTGGCCCTTGGTTCGCCAATGCGACTTGCTTTTAAGCAAGGGCTGTGCCCCATTTGCATAATGCCGACAGCGATATTTGAAAGAATAGGCCGATAAATCGGAGATGCGCGTTCGATGCGATGCGATGTTGACATTGCTGGCATTGTCTTAAGCGCATTGGCTCGTCTTTCAGGGCTTCATATCCACGCAATAGACAAAAGCAGCAAAAGAAGTTACTGCTAAATGCTTCGAGTTTTGAGAGTGACAGCAGCAAAAGCAGCAGCAGCAACAGCAGCAGCCGCAACAGCAATAACAACAGCAACAGCAGCAGAAGCAGCGACCACCGCGGCTTGGCCTGTGCATGAACTTCAGCTCGCTCGAGTGACACAGTTTTGTAGTTTTCGTATAAATAGTGGACCTTCGGTGCTTCAAAAGTCAGATACAACCGAACAGTCAAAGTTAAAGAACTTCAATTGAATCCAAAATGCGTGCATTTATTGTAAGTAGCAAGAAACCTGCGAAAATTATCATTTAGGATTACCTCATCCACTGTTTTGTCTTTTTTGTCTGCAGGTTATGTGCTTGGTGGCAGTTGCCTGCGCCGATAAACTTGGCTACAACTACCAGCCCGTCGGACACTCCGGCTCAGGATTGTCGTTTGCTCCTGGTAGCGGAAGTGGAAGCCTTGGGGGCCTGAGCGGTGGTGGTCTGAGCGGTGGATCTCTGGGCGGACTTGGCGGTGGCTCTCTGGGCGGTGGCTCTCTGGGCGGTCTTGGCGGTGGCTCTCTAGGTGGAATTGGCGGTGGCTCTCTGGGCGGCGGCTCTCTGGGCGGCGGCTCTCTGGGCGGCGGCTCTCTAGGCGGACTTGGAGGCGGCGCTGGATTGACTTCGGATGGCGGCAGCATCGGTGGCGGTTCCGGTCTCGGCAACCTTGGTGGTCTGTCAGGTGGAGGTGTGGATGCTCCCGTCTCTTACAACGCCCCTGCCCCAGCTGCTGAATTGGAGAAGGAATTCTTTACCTACACTGCTAACGAACAGGACTTTGATGAGCCCGCAGCTTTGGAGAAGGTGTCCGGCTCCCTGAACAAGGGTCTGCGTGTTATCTTCATCAAGGGACCCGAGAACCGTGGTCTGGAGAACGCTGCTCTGGCTTTGGCCAAGCAGGCTGCCCAACAGGAGACTGCCATCTATGTCCTGAACAAGCAGGCCGATATCGGTGATCTGGCCAACAAACTGAATGCCGTCCGCGGCAACAACAACAACAAGCCCGAGGTGCACTTCGTCAAGTATCGCACTCCTGAGGATGCTGCCAACGCTCAGCGTGCCATTCAGGGTCAGTACGATCAGTTGGGTGGTACCAGCCAGTCCCACAATGGTGGTGTTGCCCCAGTGCTCAACTTCGCCTCCCAGGGTCCTGTGCGTCAGGCCAACGCCAAGTCCCCCGATAATGCCTACCTGCCCACTTCGATCTTCCGCCGTTTCTAAATTTCAGCCAGATTTAGATCAACAGATTAATAATGCCAGCGATCTTTGACTGATTTTTAAACCTAGTTATTGTTGAATAATGATTAAATAAATCCCATTTCCTACATACTTATACAAACGGTTTATCTTTCATCAGGAAGCAAAATGATATATTAGATACAATCTCATCCAATGAGGAATACAAACATTTGTTGTTCCACAGTAATATAGCTAATATTTCTGTCGAATGCCACCTTTTGAGTCACAGTTTTATAAATCATTAGTCGCATATTCACAGAACTCAGTCTTCAGCAAACTTTCTAAAAGGCAACAGTTTATTGCACGCCTTGAATGTTCCGACTAGAAAAAAACCTTGTCATTAATGATCAATAGTCCTTAAGTCGATTTTTATTTTTAAACGGTAATTCCATCCGTTAATTTTGTTTAATGTATTCGTTAAGATCAACTCTTTCACGCAGACATTCCTATTCATGTAAACTGCGGCTTAATCCCTATTCGCCACATGTTAATGGGTATTGAAACTAAAAACGTATGGACTATATACTTTGTATTGTATTAAATAAGGAGAGTGACACCATATATACAAAAGGCACGGATGAAATCATTATTCAATCTTTAATTTATCATCATATCTTCAGTTTGTTTGATATTTATGATTTTAATAATTAGTCTCGAGTTCTCTGATTATTTTTAATTCACGCTGGATAAATATTTACAATAATGTATATGTTACAATTCATGAGATCTTGTTTTCAGAGAGTAACAAAAAAATCTTAACTGTGTTTTTTAAATTCTTTTAAATTTATTGAACAAAAACCAACAATTTTCTAACTTAGCTAATTTCTTTCCAAGTCGAAACTAAGTAACAACTAGTGACGAAGTCGTCGCAGGATTGATGAAGGCAGATAATTGCTATCGGGTTGCTGAACATGTCCAGAGCTCACAGGCGCTGAGGAGCGGGAGGCGAAGTTCAAGGCATTGGCAACACCACCGTTAATGGACTGGCTAGAGCCACCCAGCGAATCATATTGGCTCTGGATAGCCTTCTGGGCATTGGCAGCATCCTCAGGAGTGCGGTACTTCACGAAGTGCACCTCGGGCTTATTGTTTGCATTTTGACGCACGGCGTTGAATTTGTTTGCTAATTCGTTGAGGTCCGGTTGTCTGTGGAGCAGATAGATTGCTGTTTGCTGTTCAGCAGCCTTCTTGGCCAGGGCCAGAACGGCATTCTCATAGCCACGGTTCTCCGGCGCCTTGATAAAGATCACTCGGATGCTTTTCTTGACGGCAGCAGCAATTTTGTTTGCGGCATCGGGATCCTCAAAGTCGGCCTCGTTTGCATGAAAAGAGTAGAATTCCTTATGGATGCCGGCTTGTGGCGCAGCTTTGTAACTAACTGGGCCGCCCAAACTTGATCCGATGCCACTGCTAGAGCTGCCAATGCCATTGGTAGCGACTGCCGGGCTGCTGGGTCTGTAGTTATAGCCTAAGCGACCGGCACTAACTGCTGCCACAAAACACAAAGCAATCAGAGCGCGCATCTTGCCGTTCCCTACTGTTCTGTTAGAATGCTCGCCAAGTCTATATTAACTTAGCTTTTATACCGCCAACGCTAACAGTCGCTATAATTAGACTAGTTAGTCTAGCTAAAATGAAGTCGTCGCGCTCTCTTGAGCCATTTCTTGAGGCGTCCGCTCGCCGATTGCCAGCGGAAGACCCGGTTCGCGACTATGACCACGACTGGCGATTTGTGATTGGTGATTGGCTAGCTGGTTTTTGGAATGCTGTTAATCTGTTAACATAATTTCGCTCTTAACACATTTAACACATTGTTTTGAGCAGCTTCAATCGTGCCGCCGATGCTGTCGCGTCTATTTCCGATTGGCGATTGGCTGATCGTGATTCACCCATAATTGGCTTATAATTTATGCAAAGACTCTGCTGACGCAACCCCAAATAACAGACTTTTTCGTTATATTATGTATATACAGAATCGCTATTTGTTAATGATTTCAACAAAAAAGTGATCGTCAGCACAATAAAATTAATGATTATATTTGTTTCTTCGTGTTTTTCTTTATAGTAAATCAGGTTTTGATCAAACATAAATCTTATTAGCCTCACATATTTGTGTGTTTGTCCTACTGTGTGAGACGCACATGAAATTCCTTTCTAATTGTACATGGCACACATCAAGGTGACAGTGAAAATCAGGTCAACTAACGGTTTATTATTACCGGTCAGCCTTCAGTTATATTAGGGGCTTCATTTATTATGAGGCAGAGCGGAATAAGGAAATTCAATGAGTTGAGAAAAATTGCGGCATTGCAAATTTAATGTACCATGACATCTCACACTTTTTGTTAATACATTTAATATATAAGATAATGACTTATGATCTAAGCATCAAAAAGACATCATAGTCATCAGAGCGAATGCATAATTATTATTGTCAACTTCTACAGTACGAATTCCAACTATTTGGATCAAGCGAATTGTACGCACTTAGAAAAGTGCGCTGTATAAACTGTTACTTTCAAAGTATTATTTCCATTATTGAAATTCGAGTAAGAAATCCATCCCAAATTCACTACATAACTCACATCAAATCCCATATATCCTTCGACACCCTTTTAAAGACATATTTTAAGTTTTCGTAGTAGAAATATTATTTCAAATTCTGTTTAAAAATTAGACAATAGTCAACAATTGGTAACAATAAAGTTCACTTCTTCTGTCAAAGTACACTTAAGATAATAATTTAGCGACGCAGACGACGGAAGATGGAAGTTGGAAGGTAGGAGTTGTCGGGAGACTGGGCATTCACTTGACGCACTGGACCCTGGGAAGCGAAGTTCAAGACGGGGGCAACACCACCGTTAAGAGCCTTAGAAGTACCACCCAGCTGATCGTACTGTCCCTGAATAGCACGCTGAGCGTTGGCAGCATCCTCAGGAGTGCGGTACTTGACGAAGTGCACCTCGGGCTTGTTGTTGTTGTTGCCGCGGATGGCATTCAATTTGTTGGCCAGATCACCGATATCGGACTGTTTGTTCAGGACATAGATGGCGGTCTCCTGTTGGGCAGCTTGCTTGGCCAAAGCCAGAGCAGCGTCCTCTAGACCACGGTTCTCGGGTCCCTTGATGAAGATAACACGCAGAGCCTTGTTCAGGGCGCTGGACACCTTCTCTAAAGCTTGGGGCTCATCAAAGTCCTGTTCGTTAGCAGTGTAGGTAAAGAATTCCTTCTCCAATTCAGCAGCTGGGGCAGGGGCGTTGTAGGAGACCGGAGCATCCACACCTCCACCTGACAGACCACCAAGGTTGCCGAGACCAGAACCGCCACCGATGCTGCCACCGCCAATGCTGCCGCCATCCGAAACCAATCCAGCGGTACCGCCAATACCTCCTATAGAGATACCGCTCAAACCACCACCACTGAGGCCTCCAAGGCTTCCACTTCCGCTACCAGGAGCAAACGACAATCCTGAGCCGGAGTGTCCGACGGGCTGGTAGTTGTAGCCAAGTTTATCGGCGCAGGCAACTGCCACCAAGCACATAACCTTCAGGAGAAAAGAAGAGTCAGAGGAAATGGTTAATCCTTTTGTGCCTGTACGGCTTTAGATCGTTTGTACTTACAATAAACGCACGCATTTTGGAATCAAATATTTTTTCTTGGTTATTCTACTTCGAGTCTCGAATTGCTTCTGTCTTCTGCTTGGAGCGATCTTTATTATTTATACAAATCCATCTTCGAGGCTGGTAAAACCAAAACCACCGCCTTGGCGTCGCTTGCATGGAAATTGCTTTGATGCCACTGTGTTTTGCCGCCTACAAAGCTTTTGGCTCAACAGTTTTATGGTCGATTTGGAATTTTTGTTGCGTTTGAATGGGCAACGGCAACGTCTTCGACTGAGGCTGCGACTGCGGCTGATTGTTTTAGGTTATTCAAATTTTCGAATTTTTTTATTCAATAATATTTACAAGAATTAATATAAACTTATAAAATTAATATGTGACGAGCACATTGAAATACATCTATATGCATACCGATGCTATAAAGATGGGTCATAATTATAAATAATAGGCATAAAATAAATATGTTTCCAAAAATTCTTCAGCAAGGCTACAAGCTTGTTTTATGTAGGACATCACCAGTTGGGTTTTTCCATATTGTTCAATACTCGGTCATTTTTATGTCTCACCAACCTTATGTATTTGTCGTTTGACTAAAATTGATGTTTTTGATTTATTGGCACGATATCAAGACAATAATTTGAGGGTGTACTTAATGAGGTGTTTGAAATGCCGCCTTTTCGATCCACTTTAAAAAGACAATTACGTAATATTAATATTTAATCGCTTATGCTTGTATTCCCATACTTAACATTAATTGTTTACTTAGATTATTAGCATTGAATAAATAACTAGTCACTATAACATTAAACATATCCACCAATTGCATTTGATTGTCCTGAATACCATTCTTAAATTTGGAAGCAAGTTTGTCAGTCTTCGTTAAGATCTAAATACTATTTAATTGTTAAACAAATGATGGATTATTCTCTCCACCACGGATGTTCTTATATAGCTGAATGAAGTTCTTTATTAGTATTTTTTTTAATAATTCAATGACTAACTAAAGTTGTCTGTCAATCTGACAATCAACTCTGAATACATATTCAAAATTTTGCTTATAACTCAAAAATATCCCTTCTGAATATCATTATTCCGCTTTTCAAACATAAATAATAACAGATTTGTCAATATTTACATAATTTAATTTGTGCATTGTTAAGTTTATTATATTTTGCGTAAGCCAAAAACAGTTATTAGTTCGGTTCTTTCATTGGAGAATGGGTATGTCATTTTTTTAAGTGACGCAAAGATCCAACTGCAATAGGCATATTTCATCTGAACTATGCTGTAAAATGTTATTTATTTCCACATTGATTTACAATTCATTCTCTGATATAAAAATGGGAGATCAATAATTTTTCCAATTTTTGCATATTGTAGAAAACAATTTTATTTCCATATTAAAAATAAAACGTAAGATTACAACATACATTTGTGTTAAATTTGAAAAAAAATTTTATTTATTTATATATAAGCAACAGGTAATAGAATTACTCAACAAACAGATACTAGATATTACATATATCCAGTTGTATGGTAGGAACTCTTTACAGACGACGGAAGATCGAGGTGGGGAGGTAGGAGTTGTCGGGAGATTGGGCATTAACTTGACGCACTGGACCCTGGGAGGCGAAGTTCAACGAGGGGGCAACACCACCATCATGAGACTTGGAAGTACCACCCAGCTGATCGTACTGTCCCTGAATGGCACGCTGAGCGTTGGCAGCATCCTCAGGAGTGCGGTACTTGACGAAGTGCACCTCGGGCTTGTTGTTGTTGTTGCTGCGGACGGCATTCAGTTTGTTGGCCAGATCACCGATATCGGACTGTTTGTTCAGGACATAGATGGCAGTCTCCTGTTGGGCAGCCTGCTTGGCCAAAGCCAGAGCAGCGTTCTCCAGTCCACGGTTCTCGGGTCCCTTGATGAAAATAACACGCAGAGCCTTATTCAGGGAGCCGGACACCTTCTCCAAAGCTGCGGGCTCATCAAAGTCCTGTTCGTTGGCAGTGTAAGTAAAGAATTCCTTCTCCAATTCAGCAGCTGGGGCAGGGGCGTTGTAGGAGGCCGGAGCATCCAAAGATCCGCCGTGAGAGCCACCGCCAAGTCCGCCCAGAGAGCCACCGCCAAGTCCGCCATGAGAGCCACCGCCAAGAGAGCCACCGCCGAGGGAGCCACCACCAAGAGAGCCACCGCCGAATCCGCCCAGAGAGCCACCACCAAGGGAGCCACCGCCAAGGGAGCCACCGCCGAGGGAGCCACCGCCAAGAGAGCCACCGCCGAATCCGCCCAGAGAGCCACCGCCAAGGGAGCCACCGCCAAGGGAGCCACCGCCAAGAGAGCCACCGCCATATCCGCCCAGAGAGCCACCGCTCAGACTACCTCCAGCTCCACTGCCAGGAGCGAACGACAATCCTGAGTTGGAGTGTCCGACCGGTTGGTAGTTGTAGCCCAATTTATCGGCGCAGGCAACTGCGACTAGGCACATAACCTGATTTGATGAGCGCGGAAGAAGTGGTCCATTAGTATATCCTTTGGCTTTACTGGTTGACAACTTACAATAAACGCACGCATCTTGAATACTGCTGCCGAGGTTCTGTTGGTTTGAAGTTTGTTTGGTTTCTGTCTAAATTTGCAACGGCGAGTATTATTTATACAAATCCGTCGTCGAGGCTGTCTGCGTAGTTTTGCATTAAACTTAATGCGGTGGCGTCGCTAAATATCTTTTCCGCCTAAAAATAGCTGAATTCGTCTTTTGTCTCGTCGTTTGATTCGACAATTCACCTTTGCATAAATGTTATTATAAGGAAAGTGATAAAAATCTAAATCGTGAGCATAAATATGCAACATTTTCGCACAAAACGGCATAAAATACGTTTAGCAAAAGCAATAACAAATGACTGTAATTTTTGGGTTTACTTCATTTGGTCGATTTTATTGTTTTTTCGTATATAAAATGCTGGAATACAAATATTAATCATTCCAGCTTCATTGGCAAAATTAGCATACAACATAGTTCTTCTAACGCAAACGCAGGCGGCGCAAAATGTTGGCTGGCAGGTATGAGGCACTAGGCGCACTTTGAGCGGCAAAGCCACCATTTCCTCCGCTCGAATGGCCGGTTGGCGCACGAGAGGCAAAGTTAATGGCTGGGGCAACTCCACCGTTGATGTGCTGGCTTGAGCCGCCCTGAGAGTCGTATTGGCTCTGGATAGCCTTCTGTGCGTTGGCAGCATCCTGAGGAGTGCGGTACTTGACGAAGTGCACCTCAGGCCTGGCGTTAGAGTTCTGGCGCGCGGCGTTAAACTTGTTGGCCAGATCACCGATGTCTGTTTGCTTGTTCAGGACATAGATGGCGGTCTGTTGCTGGGCAGCCTGTTTGGCTAGAGCCAGAGCTGCATCCTCCAGGCCACGGTTCTCGGGTCCCTTGATGAAGATCACGCGCAGACCTTTGTCGACGCTGTTGGCAACCCTTTCACTGCCAGCTGGATCGTTGAAATCATCCTCATTGGCCTCGAATGTGTAGAATTCTTTGTTGAGTCCACCCGATGGAGCATAGGATGCGCCGGGGCTGGACTCAGCGCCACCGTAGCTGGGCTCGTTGTATGCAGGGGCGTCGTTACTTGCGGAGGGAGTGTCAAATCCTTGTCCATAGTTATACTGGGCACATGCCGCGCCAAACAGACAGATAACGACGAGGAATCGCATGGTAGATTAGAGAGATGTGTGCGTGTGTACTGAACAGCCAATGGTTAAGACTGAATCCTGATACTGCGCGACCTGCCTTTTATACAACTCACCCGTACCGGGATCGAATTTAGAACAATGGAGATGGGTTCTTTATGGGCACATAATTAAACTAGTAGCTTATGCAAAGTAGTGCGTTTATGAAATGATTATGCAAAACTATTTAACTGGATAGGCTAGTAAACTTTCTGCGCTAAATATGGAATCGTAGGACCGGTTCCTTCTATTAGTTCTAGACTTAAAAACATTGGAATTTAGGTTCCACAGAGAAATTACTTAATAACTATCGAACTTGTTCTTCAAACTAGCACCGTATCCAATTAAGGCATTCTTATCGTAAATGCCAAACTTCATACTATCAATTCTAGCATCCGCATTGAATCCAATATATAAATGCATATTTATATAATTGGAAAAGGTAGAACATTGATGACAGTTTTTGAATAAATTGTTTAGAATAAAATATGCATGACGAAACATCCATTTGTTTGTATACCTACAAATTTGCCGGAAGAAATTAATGAGGCAAATTTGTTTGGCTTTTAAGTAGCTCGGTTATTGCCCTGGCTTCATATGTATTTTAAAATCGACGTCTGTTTAAATCTAGTAACTTTAAAGACTTAAGGCAGTCGTGCTCCTTATATCGGCATTATTTTGTATTAAATTTGAATACGTTGTATTAAATGTCGGCATAGTTAAATTTTAGAATTGATCAATATATTTATATCAAGTAAGAATGCTGTAGTCGAGTGGGCTCCTAGTTGTATTGGCAAATTTCCGTTTCACAAAGTGGTGTGGAATTTATGGCAGGTGCAGGCACTTAAGACTGAAAAAAGTAAGGCAGCGCATGTTATTTTTCCACAAGCCCGAACTGAAATCACTGTTTTGTAAAAAACTCATTCATATACATAAATACATACATATACACAATTTTTGGTAATAATTGGTTGGTAAGAATATACATAAACATATTAACGATCGCGTCGATTATATAATAATATCTATATGCACATTATGTATTAATTAGAAGCCTCTGCTTTTGAAATTGTAACTTTTATTGCTATTAGAAATTCAAATGTATCGATATTTGTAAAACAGATAAACAGATTATCGATAAAATGAAATTAACTTGGTCTGCGCGTGGGGTATACTTGCTACAAAAGTTTGAAAACATTATTAAGTGTAAAATTTTATTTTACATACATATGTATAATCTCGTTGTTTAGCATCGGAATTTCTGTAAATCTTGAAGTAATTTAAGTCGACTGCATTTTCAGCTTTTTGAAAGTTATTTCTTGAGTTTCTAAATATTTATTTATGGCTGTACCAAAGACAATTAAATACTTGAATAAATTATAATTTTAAGAACCTGACGACTCCCAGACGTGTAGATAACTCTTCAGTATTGATGCCCATGCTTCATATAAAATAAGGTTTTTACGTAACAGAAAGATATAACAGTTTTTATTATTCAAATAATTTTTAAACAAAAAGTCGCTTTAGAGCAATTTAAATGCGAAGGCGGCGAAAAATGTTTGCTGGCAGGTAACTGTTTCCGGGAGCGGAAGTTGCTTTGGGGTTTTCGTGAACGGCGGCTGGTGCTTGCGAGGCAAAGTTAAGAACTGGGGCAACACCACCATCGTGATTAGCCGTTGAACCACCCAGCTGATCATATTGTCCCTGAATAGCACGCTGAGCGTTGGCAGCATCCTCAGGAGTGCGGTACTTGACGAAGTGCACCTCGGGCTTGTTGTTGTTGTTGCCGCGGACGGCATTCAGTTTGTTGGCCAGATCACCGATATCGGACTGTTTGTTCAGGACATAGATGGCGGTCTCCTGTTGGGCAGCCTGCTTGGCCAAACCCAGAGCAGCATTTTCTAGTCCACGGTTCTCGGGTCCCTTGATGAAAATAACACGCAAAGCCTTGTTCAGAGAGCCGGACACCTTCTCCAAAGCTGCGGGCTCATCAAAGTCTTCATCGTTAGCAGTGTATGTGAAGAATTCCTTCTCCAATTCAGCAGCTGGAGCAGGGGCGTCATGGGAGTCCGGAGCATCCAAAGAATGGCCAGATGGGGCCAGTGAGCCAGTGGGGTTGCTACCGGGATTGAATGACAATCCTGAACCGGAGTGCTCGACGGGCTGATAGTTATAGCCCAGCTTGTCGGCGGTGGCAATGGCCACAAGGCACATGACGATAAAAGCGCGCATCTTAGTTGAGATTCGGTTGAGTTTGTATGAAGCAATCTTGTGTTTCTGACTCAGAGAATCGGGGTCTTTTCTTTTATAGCTAACTTGCACGTTGTTTTTCGAATTGATAAGATATTGTAAACTGGTTAAAAGGATTAAGTACATTTGGCAGATTAATATGACTGTTCACACAGTGTGCAGTAGTCTCATTTGGTTATTAAATGCATAAATAATAACATTAGTGCATAGAGACTGAGAGGGTCGATCTTAATGCTGAGATGCAAATGAGGGTAGAGGGGCAATGTGTTGCTTTTGATTGCCAAATAAGCGGCGCCAAGTAATTTATTAAATGTCCAATTATCAAATTATCTTATTTGGTGCTGACACCGCTCTGTAGCCCAAGCGGCTAATTAGCTAATCAATCGCAAAAAAAAGATGCCGTTTATTTTTAGCGATGAAGTCGCCGGTACTTCCGGCGCCATTCAACATCCACATCCACTGCCGGCTGCGGAAGGTCGCCTCCACCCGCAACATTAGCATAAATCAGATCACAAAAGCCGCAAAGCTGCAAAGACTCGACAAAGCCTCTCGAACAGGCAATAATAATTTTGCGGATCGTTAAAATATGTTTTCAATAATCCGATTGAGCAGACCTCATTTGCATCTTTTGTTTGGCTTTCGAGCGTTTTCGGGTAACACTCCGAGTTACGTGTTTATTGCACACATTATGAGAAGTAGACAAGTGTAACGCACCGATTTCAATTTACAATCCATTGGCCAACGTCAGTCAAAATCCATGCATTATGAACAGATTTATTCTGATTGTTCAGTGGAGATAAGTATATTCATATCGTCAAGGTTTTTTGAAAAAAACAAAAAGCAGAGATGAATAATTAGAACTATTATCAAATTCACTGTATTAAATTCAAGATGAATCTCATGGACTGGTGACTGCATTGCCATCAAGATCTGCCTCTCCACGAAAATTTATCCAATCCATTCTACTGTATAATTAATGAAGAATTAAGAATAATTGCATAATCTAACCATTTTAATCAAGCCATTTGCATAATGATAAATGCTCCACATGGACAATAGCATAAAAACCATAGAGTCATCTGGCTAAGGCATCACATTCTGCAAACAACTCAGACTGACTAATCATGAGACATTTCTCCGCTATTCTCTGCTGCTGTCTTGTGGCTCTGGCCAGCGCTGACAAGCTTGGCTATAATTACCAGCCAGTGGAACACTCGGGCTCTGGCCTTTCGTTTGCGCCTGGCGGTGCAGCCAGCAATTTGGCGCCTTCGTATGCATCTGAACCTGGCTCTGCCGTGGACTCCGGTAACGCAGGCATCGACCAGCCGTCAAATGTGGAGCCCAGCTATCAATCCACTGGCTCCAATGCTCAGCCAACGGCTGATGCCCCGAACTATGCCGCAGCGCAACCTGAGCTGGAAAAGGAATTCTTCACTTACACTGCCAACGAGGAAGACTTCAACGACCCCGCTGCATCGGAGAAGGTATCCAACTCTCTGAACAAAGCTCTGCGCGTTGTTTTCATCAGGGGTCCCGAAAACCATGGCCTGGAGCATGCGGCTCTAGCTCTAGCTAAGCAGGCCGGCCAACAGGAAACTGCCATCTATGTCCTGAACAAGCAGTCTGATATTGGGGATCTTGCCAACAAACTGAATGCCGTCCGCAGCAACAACAACAACAAGCCCGAGGTGCACTTCGTCAAGTACCGCACTCCTGAGGATGCTGAGCATGCACAGCACGCTATTCAGGGACAGTACGATCAGTTGGGAGGAACTTCCTCACACCAGGATGGTGGAGTTGCCCCTTCCCTCAACTTTGCGTCTAGTGCGCCAGCGCCAGTTGCCGCAGAACATCCAGCGGCTTCCGCACCTGCCCAACACATAGCCCAGCCCGAAGCCACGCAGCCCATTTCCTCATATGTTCCACCAGTGACGCCAGGCAGTTCATATTTGCCCGCGAATATTTTGCGCCGCCTGCGTTTCTAAGATGAAATACTTTGAGCTGTTATCATTTTTGTAACCGAATATCTTTGTTATTGTTTACCTATTGTTTCAAAAATAAAAATTGTTGACTTAAAATATTTAAATTCTTAAATACATTTAGATGTTTGGTTGTTCCACTTCATGTTCATAAAAATGGTCTAAGAAAAACGAGTTTAATCAAGCTGTGTAATAGTATATTACAGACAGCATCAGAACCTCATATTCTGTACATTGTAGTATTTCAAAGAACCTAAGAAAAGGGTTAGTTAAGGAAATTAAAACCAATTTGTTGCAATTCTTAATCTTAATAAGTTATTCAAGAAAATATAAAGATGGTTTGATCTTGAATATATACATTTTTTTTTAATGTGTTTACATATCTAAATTTGTGTGCATTCATAATTTTGGACAACAAAATTTAATTTCAATGCTTGTATTTACATGTAAATATTTATTACTTTTATTATAAATGTATATATGATTTTAAGACATGGTTAAAAGATATCTTCTAGTCGACCGAAATTAAATGTTATATTTTGAATTAGAATACGACGCGCGTCTTTATTAAATTCGTGGTTTATTTTTAGATGGAGTATTTTGGCTTTGTGAAAATGAATTGAATTTTAATTTGGTAACGGATTTGGGTTTTTTCTTTGATATAACAAACAAGTTCAACGGGTTAAATTAGGAAAAGTTTGTCTTTTTATGAAAATTTGCAAATTCAAAATACATGTTCTATGACACCAGTTTATTTCTGAGACACGTTTTTGAATGCCAATACATATGTGTATTGTTTGTTTATATCAATATGGATTTGTATGCCCCACGCAGTTTTATAAATTGATTTCGTATAAATTGTCTGACAAATTGCATGTAGCTCTAACAAACAATATCCAAAGCTGTAGCGCCGAGCAATTTAATATTATTAAGCTCACATACTGTCCCAGAAATAAAAATATTTGTGGCCATTAGGCAGAGTTTCACTTTCAATCATTGCGAGTTCGATTTGCATAACAAAATGAGCGAACAAAAGAATTTGGCTACCGAACAGCCAAACAATTTGGAGCTACTGCTGCCGCCGCAGCTCTGTCGCAGTCGACTGCTCTGTTGGCTTCAAGATGCGTTGTCTTATTTGCATAAAAATTTTCTTTGTAAGCGGAATTTCATCAAATTTTAATCAACGCCACCGCCGTAGCAGCAGCAAATAATCAAAGACGCCTAAATAATAATAAAAAAAAAACATGTTCGACCACATACTGGGACGAACCTTATCTTGATCTTCAGCATGTTTGTTAAACGTTTGTTCTGAGAGTGACATTCATCATGGTATAAAAATGGCACGTCACCTCTTCAGCACATCATTCTGTGCTCATAGCTCCAACTAGAACTAGAACCACAAAGATGCGTGCCTTTATTGTTTTGTGCCTTGTGGCCGTTGCCTGTGCCGATAAACTGGGTTACAACTATAAGCCGGTAGAGCACACTAGCTCAGGATTATCGTTCACTCCTGGCAGTGGTAGCGGAAGCTCCCTTGGAGGACTCGGCGGTGGTTCCCTTGGAGGACTCGGCGGTGGTTCTCTTGGAGGACTCGGCGGTGGTTCTCTTGGAGGACTCAGCGGTGGTTCTCTTGGAGGACTCGGCGGTGGCTCTCTTGGCGGTGACTCTCTAAGTAGTGGCTCCCTCGGTGGTGGCGGACTCGGTGGAGGACTCCTGGGCTCCGGTATTGGCAGCTCTGGTCTGGGTAGCTCTGGATTGGATGGACCCGTCAACTACAATGCTGCGCCATCATCCGAGCTAAACAAGGAGTTCTACACCTTCAGTGCCAATGAAGATGACTTCGATGAGCCCCAAGCTTTGGATCGCGCTGCCAATTCCGTCAATAAGGGTCTGCGCGTTGTCTTCATCAAGGGACCCGAGAACCGTGGCTTGGAGAATGCCGCTCTGGCTCTGGCCAAGCAGGCTGCCCAACAAGAGACCGCCATCTATGTCCTGAACAAACAGGCCGATATCGGTGATCTGGCCAACAAACTGAATGCCATCCGCAGCAATAACAACAACAAACCCGAGGTGCACTTCGTCAAGTACCGCACTCCTGAGGATGCTGCCAACGCACAGCGTGCCATCCAGTCGCAGTACGACTCTCTGGGCGGCTCAAGCCAGTCCCACAATGGAGGTGTGGCCAATGCTCTGAACTTTGCTTCGGCACCACAGTACCGTCAGCCAAACGCTCAGATCCCAGAGAACTCCTACCTCCCATCGTCTGTGCTGCGTCGTCTGCGTTTCCGTTATTAATTCCATTCTTAGCATTTTATTGTTGAATGTCTGTTATCTATTGATTTGTCAAATGTTTCAAATACACTTCTTATTTAAAATGTATGTATCAAATGCTTTTTATCTGCGGTCCCATATAGGTATGTCATCCAAACGATATAGTCGTCTCTTTACAAACGATCGTTGGAGGGGGTTGAATATTATTTCCATGTTTCACTGCCACTAAATTGCAGCATTTAATGTTTGCTGGGGGCCATACAAATTCCAGCATTGTGACGATATCTTCGAAGTCAAATGGAATCCAATAAAATTAACATTTTGTCATATTGTGTGTGCTCCTATTGTACAAAAGGCGCAAGACGAAATTTTTGGATAATAATTAAAATGTTAATCTGCGTGAAGTAAAAGGTTAGACAAACTATTCGCACCTAAATTTATGGCCACTGCAAGACGGAACTATCTTGACTAGGCCAGTCAAAGCCAGTTCAATACATTATGTATGAGTAATAACAGAGCGGCCGCATGAATGGCCAATAACAAGACAAGACAATAGTAGCTATATTCAAGAGCACCCACTATCTTCCATTTGCATAAAAAATAAAAAAAGCCACAATAGCTTATTCGAAATATCATTAAAATAAATTGACTGGCAAATTGTGAGCAAGCTGCAAGAACTCTATTAGACGTCAACAAAACATATTATATCCGTACTCAATTCTTGAGTAACTTGTATACCGATTAATATATTACTGTTGGATTCGATTATGAAAATGATAAAGCTTTACAACATACTTCAAAAATTATACATTTTATATTACTTTAAGGTGACATTCCGCAGCTCAGATACATATTTTAATATGAAGATTTTGCGAAACTTGAGTTGCGAGTTGCCAACCCATAACTTTTGTTATGCTAATCATGTTGAAAAAAGCTAATTATAAATTGTTATTTTTTATGTGCATTTTTTATGTATAATTTACGTATTGTTGCTATTTGTATTAAAATAATTGAAAAAATTTATGTTTTTAATAAACTGTAGGCGAAACAACAAATAAATTTTTCTTTAACAATATATATAAAACAGCTCAGTTGCAACACAATAAAATTAGTGAAATTCGTAATTTTTAAAAAATGAATGATTTATTTTGATGACAATTTTATGCGACTTAGGGATAACAACTATTTTTTTATATTTTATAATTAAGCCTGATTACATTGAAGCGAGTATGGAAAGCTTTGTTCTTGAGAATATTTAATTTGTTTTAAATAAAATTAATTTGCTAGTAAATGTATTTTTAGGATTCTTATGATTTTAATTAATATTTGACTACTGGTTAAGTTAATATGATATTAATCTGTCTGCCTAATCCTTCCACCGTATTTCATTTTTGGTATTTCAATTACATCATTTTATTATTCAGTGCTTAACCAATTGAAATGAAATAGCTCCAAATTTGAATACCCTGTCACCCTTTGTAAAAAAGTGTATATCGAAATTGTGCAAATGTATATAAATAAGTACATGCTTGATCAGGATTTTTTCTACTATTTGTTACTTTTTATTAAGTGTATCGCCTGTAAGAAATGAAAGCACTTACACACGTTCATTTAAGTCAGCAAAATTTCTCAATAAGGCTATAATAATAAATTCAGCATCTGCGCTCAGGGTATCTCGTAGTCTCCCATAGCTACAGCAAACAGACTTGTTTTACATGGGATTCCATGGCCAGTTCGCCCCTGAATGCAAAAGCAAAGGTCAACTGAAATTGGCAAATGTGGAGCAGTAAATGGGAAAAGAAACAAACAAATGGGGGCAACTAGTAAGACACGGCGATAAATTACGAAAAAGCAACCCAACGCAGCAGCGGATTAAAATTGACAAATAGTGCTTAAGTGGTGCACAAATCAAAGATGACAAATAAAAAAGAAATTGCAAATTGATAGTGCGAAAACGAAGCATTTGCAAAACGGTGTGATATAGTATATAAGACGTAGGTGTTAATGATATCGGCAGAGTCAGTTTTGATACGACTAATAGTTCGGAAGTATTATCTCAACATTGTACAAAATGCACGTCCTTATTGTGAGTTATTGAAGGATCTTCAAAGTGACCATGCTTTATAATCTATTGAAATCTTGCTTCCACAGACGCTGTCTCTTGTGGCTGTAGCTTATGCCGGCAATCTGGGATACAACTACCAACCCGTGCAGCAATCTTACCACACTTCTAGTGATGGTTACCACACTTCTAGTGTTGGTGGCCATGATCAAGCTGCTTACATACCACCTGTACAAAGTGCACCCATCAGCCATGAACACGCACCCGTTGAAGAGGCACATCAAGCTGCGCCTGAGCTTATGAAGGAGTTCTTCACCTACACCGCTAACGACCACGATTTCCACGAACCCATCAACAACGATCAGCTTTCAAACAACCTGCGTAGGAGCCTGCGTGTCATTTTCATTAAGGGACCCGAGAACAGCGGTGTGCAAGATGCTGCTTTGGCTCTGTCCAAACAGGCAGCCGAGCAAAATACTGCGATTTATGTGCTGAACAAGCAGGCTGATATCAACGATCTTGGAAACAAGCTAAATAGCCTTCGCTCCAACAACAACCAGAAGCCAGAGGTTCACTTTGTTAAATACCGCACACCGGAGGATGCTCTCAATGCCCAGCGCGCCATCCAAGGTCAGTACGATGAGCTGGGAGGTACCTCATCTCATCACAATGGCGGCGTTGCACCCGTGCTGAATTTTGCCTCCCATGCACCCGCTCAGCCAGCGGCAGAGATTCACCAGCCCTTGAACTCATATCTGCCTTCATCGGTGTTCCGCAGTCGCCTCTAGGAACAATGAACGGATCAACAAACTGATTACCATAGTTAACCATTATTCCTTAGTTACTTGTGCAGTTTTACTAATATAATACAAATAATAAGAATAAGTTGTAAGCATTTTATTATTTGGTAAGCTTTTTGGCAATGCTAATTATGCAATATAATTAGGTTATGAGCCATTTACCTATTACGGCGGGACTATTCTATTATTTTTCTCTATTTGGCGTTACAGTTTGCTGGCAACGAATAGACAACGATTTATGGCTTGTAGATTGCTTATTATAGCATGTGACAAATTGTGGTAAGACCGTCCTTCAAATGAAAGATATTGGCTAGGAAATCGATAAAATCGATAAAGCCACATATCCCACAATTTTAAGACTACAGTCATCAGATTTGGTTGGGAGGCTGTTGGCGATGTCCTTCAAAGATCGGCATGAAATGAACATATCCTTCACAATTTGTAAGCTAGAGTCACCAAATTTTGAAGGTACAATGTTACTAGTTACACTCTTCAAAATTCCAGAAAAGTTCATGACACCGCCCACTCCTGCCCCCAAAAATGATAAAATCCTGTATCTCCCGCAATTTAAGACATATAGTTAGCAAACTTGGATGGAAGATTACTTGGAACCTTCTCTTATAATTTTTTTAGCCACGCCCACACCACCGTCCTTGAAAATTCCCTAAGCCTATATCTACCCCATTTTTAAAGGCAAACTCGGACGGTAGCTTACTAAAAATCTCCTTCAAAGATCGATAATTCTTGGCTACACCCTATTACTTATGGCATCAAAGTATTTCGGTTACACCAGACTGCAATGTTCTCTCTTGTTTATTTACTATTTTTCAGAAATGGACTATTTTTTTTTTAAATAATTTTTAAATTAAATAAAATTCCAGAAAATTTTATTATTTTGTAAATTCATTTTTATGATTTATATGATTTTCATTAAGATTTGACAACTGGTTAAGTCAATATACCGATATCATTCAGCTCATTGCCTTATCCTGCCACTTTATTTAATTTGTGGAAGACTGCATCTGTCGCCCCTTAAAGTATATATTAATGATCAGTATGAAAAGCCAGGTCAATCTTTCCTTAGATTTTATTACTCCTCAATACATGTGCCGCTTCTCAATAAAACTATAATAATATATTCAGCATCCGTGCTCAGGGTATCTCGTAGCCTCTCATAGCTACAGCATGAGCAATTCGCCCTTGAATGCAAAAACAAAGGTCAACTGAAATCGGCAAATGTAGAGCAATAAATGCCAAAAAAATAAAACTAATGGGGGCAACTAGTAAGATACGACGAAAAAACATGTGAGAACAGTGCAATCGGACATGATCGACTGTAAAATACTCTGTAGCCAAGAAATACCAATCTTCGCAGGAGGCGTCTTTGTAGTTTTCAATCTAAATGGTGCAACTTTAGCTCCTAAATTACATATTATATAGGCATTTGCCGTGTTTGGTGTCGGGAGCGGACGTCACGCCAAATTATTTTTCGCCTTTTGTTAAGTGTCTAGCTTTTAAATTGTGTGAGATATATAGTTATAATTTTGGGGAGCCAGAGTGGGAGTGGCCATTATATTTCTTGTATTGGCCATTAAAAGGGAGTTAGCAAGAACATACATTTGATGATTGTGGCTTTAAAGTATATGATCCACAGGTTTCAGCTCTAACATTAAATGAATTGAAAAAATTTACCTTCATACGGATGGACAGACAAACAGACAGCATGACGTACATTGCACAAAACTAATATACTCTTGTTTGTTTGGTATCAGAGTATAAAAAGTATTCAGCGGATTAAAATTAATTAATTAATTAGTGCTTAAGTGGTGCACAAATCAAAGATGACAAATAAAAAAGAAATTGCAAATGGATAGTGCGAAAACGAAGCATTTGCAAATCGGTTTGATATAGTATATAAGACGTAGGTGTTAATGATATCGGCAGAGTCAGTTTTGATACGACTAATAGTTCGGAAGTATTATCTCAACATTGTACAAAATGCACGTCCTTATTGTGAGTTATTGAAGGATCTTCAAAGTGACCATGCTTTATAATCTATTGAAATCTTGCTTCCACAGACGCTGTCTCTTGTGGCTGTAGCTTATGCCGGCAATCTGGGATACAACTACCAACCCGTGCAGCAATCTTACCACACTTCTAGTGATGGTTACCAAACTTCTAGTGTTGGTGGCCATGATCAAGCTGCTTACATACCACCTGTACAAAGTGCACCCATCAGCCATGAACACGCACCCGTTGAAGAGGCACATCAAGCTGCGCCTGAGCTTATGAAGGAGTTCTTCACCTACACCGCTAACGACCACGATTTCCACGAACCCATCAACAACGATCAGCTTTCAAACAACCTGCGTAAGAGCCTGCGTGTCATTTTCATTAAGGGACCCGAGAACAGCGGTGTGCAAGATGCTGCTTTGGCTCTGTCCAAACAGGCAGCCGAGCAAAATACTGCGATTTATGTGCTGAACAAGCAGGCTGATATCAACGATCTTGGAAACAAGCTAAATAGCCTTCGCTCCAACAACAACCAGAAGCCAGAGGTTCACTTTGTTAAATACCGCACACCGGAGGATGCTCTCAATGCCCAGCGCGCCATCCAAGGTCAGTACGATGAGCTGGGAGGTAGCTCATCCCATCAAAATGGCGGCGTTGCACCCGTGCTGAATTTTGCCTCCCACGCACCCGCTCAGCCAGCGGCAGAGGCTCACCAGCCCTTGAACTCATATCTGCCTTCATCGGTGCTCCGCAGTCGTCTCTAAGAGCAATGAACTGGGCCAACAAACTGACTTCGGCCGATTCCCACGCATATGTTAGACCATTGTTAACAATTTTGTATTTAGTTAGTTTCGCAATTTTACAAATATAATACCAATAATAATAATATGTTGATGAAATCTTAATATTTGGTAAGCATTTGGCAATGCTAATTATGCAATATTTCATTAGGTCGTGAGCTATTTACCTTATTCAGCGGGACTATTCCACCATTATTCCCTATTTGGTATTACAGTTCGCTGGCAAAGATTATAAAACGCTTTAAGGCTTGTGGATTGCCCGACAAACGATCGCTGGCCTTTGCTGAGATTACAGCATGCGACAAATTGTGGTAAGATTGTCTTTAAAATGAAGGACTTGGAATTGGATAAAACAAATATATTTTGTAGTTTCTCAGCTTCTTAGCTATATGCTCTGCTGAGCTGGGCTATCAGTATCATCCAAATAGTGGCTACGAAACTGACCAAGCATTAGGAAACAGCTATAGTAGCCAGGAAGCCGATGACCACTATAATGAGCATGCAGATTTCCACAAGCATTTTTATGCATTTGCGGCACCATACGACTCTGGGGATGAGGCTGACCTTGTCGAGGACAAAATTTCGGCGCTCTCAAAGAAAAATTTGCAGGTTGTCTTCATAAGGGCGCCAGAGAACAAGGTGATTGAAGGCGCACTCCACGCACTTGCCACGCAAACCAACGAGGATAAAACTGCGATCTATGTGCTGAATAAGCAAACGGACTCCAACGAATTGGCAAGCAAATTGAGTGCCTTGCAGGCGCAGCACAAACATAAGCCCGTAGTTCATTTTGTTAAATACAGGACGGAAGAGGAGGCTGCACTGGCACAGCAGCAGATTCAGGCGCTATATGGAGGTGCAACTGGTCAATCATTGCATCCCACGCCGCAGCCATCGTTGGGTTATTCACAGCTCGCAGCGCGGCCGTCACAGGATTTCTATTCTCAAGAGCCAATACACCCACCCCCACCTCCGCCACCACCATCACCAGAGCCAGGTTATCTGCCACCGTTACCAAACTATGGCAATATACCGCAACCATATGATGCTGGCGCATATCGGGGTAACATTGATTTGCCTCCACTACCCTTACCAGAGCAGCAACTGGATCCAAGCCCCTACGACTTGGATGCCCGAACTGCTAGAGCACGACGAATTGATTTTCGGGTGAACGAAAGACACCGTTCAGACAGTCCTATGGTGTTTCCCACTGAGACGCCAACTAAAAGATATCTACCAACTATTTCAAATAGTTATCTGCCACCTCGGAAGCGCAGAAGACGAGCCCACTTCTAAACATAAAACTCTGTGTCTGATTAAGACATTAAAATAGTTTCATAAGACTGTCATCATATAAATTTGCATCTAGTTTTTAACACAATAAAAATCACAATAGCTATGGAGGTCTAACGCTGTATCTTCTACGAATCTCTAGAGGCGGATCGAAGACGAGTTGTTAATTGCGATAAGCTGCTTATCAGTTAAAATCTGGAGCGAGACTCGTTTGCTTATTAAAGATGACGCGTAAATTAATACGACCAACTGTCATTAAACTCAGTCATAAAAACGGATTCAAGTGAAAGTTTAACTCATTAATAAGTTGTTGTGATGTCGTGTGGAGGAGGAATGTAGTCAAAACAAATCGCTCCGCCTATGACAGTGGACAACAATCGCGTATGAAAAAATTTGATAACTAATTCAAATTGGGAGCTCATTTGTAAATTTTATGCGAATTAATTCAAGTTCAAATCGAGCTCATGAATCTTTGGCCTGGCTTTGTTTCTTGCAAGCCAACAAAATTTGCATCTCCAAATTGAACGACATTAACATGGATAATCGGATCAGGCAAACACAAAAACCAGAGCAAAAACGTTCGCAAAAATCTTTTTAAAATCCGTAAATAAAAAAAAAACCACATACGCGCAGAAAAGCAAAGAAAAATGCAAACAAAGCGAACGCAGACGAGAAGTCAGTTTTGTTGTTTGTGTCGTATATAAGGATGGTTTTGTTGCTGTGACTGGATTATAAACGAGCTGAGCTTCGAGCGCTAAAAATCAGCCGGTGTTGGCCGCTTAGCAAATCATAACGTGGAACATCCAAGCTCCATAAAATGCGCGCTTTAATGGTAAGAAAACTGAACTGGACTCAAACCTGGAGGAGATAAAATGTCCAGCTATAGAAAAGCAATTTCCACCTTTCATTTGCCACAGAGCCTTTGGCTGTTCCTCTGCACCAGCCATGCCTTTGACCCGAACAACGCCTACCTTCCAGCCAGCAATGATTATGTAGAACGCAGTCCCATTGCCACGGAGTATTTCAGCTACAGCGCACCACAGGAGGAGGATCAGAACTTACCCCTTCAAACAGCTCGACAGCTTGCCAATGCCTTTTCGCCGCCTCATCAAGTTGTCTTCATACGCACTCCGGAGAGCAATCTCTTTACACAGACAGCCAAGCACGTGGCGGAGCGTAATTCCCTGGATATATATGTGCTCCAGCAACAAATGGATACTGCCGCTTTGGCTCAACAAAAGGCGGCCATACAGCAGCAGGCGAGTCCCAAGCCCACAGTTCACTTTGTCAAGTACCGCACGCCCGCGGATGTAAGCCGGGCTTTGAGTACTCTAAAAGGCAACTACGATCAGTTGCCAGGCAGAAGCTATAGCCATGCCGTGGAAGCCGCCAAGGTACTTCAACTTGACCAGCCACAGCGCATAGGACAGCATGAACCTGTGGTGTTCAAAATCTTACCAAAGAACTCCGCCAATTATGAGACCCATGAGCCGGTGACTGAGCTGGAGACCGCCAAGCTGCAGTCGCTTTTTCAGCCATATTTGCCACCTGCCCATCGGCTTTAGGCTTACTAAAAATGGACTAGTTCCAAAGACTGCTAACTTAAAACACTTAGATGAATAAATAGAAATAAAAGCAAATCAATAAAATTCAATGTTTTTGTTCAATTAACAATGTAACATTTACATATATATATAAACATATACCGAACTCAATTTCGCTTAAATTTTTTTAATGGAATTGTTGATGTCAACTTGCATAGTCTGCAAAAGTTCCATAATCCAATTGCAGATTTTCAACGATGTTTAATTAGTTTTGGGCAGAGTCACAACAAGCTTAAGTTTGATTGATGATTTTTGTTTTCTTAATTAAAATGTTGGACTTTACAATTTCAATATCAAACTTTTCCAAAATATTGCATGCTTGAATTGCCTATTCCGAGAATCTCATCATTGGTATAAAGTTGAGCAAACTTTGACGTTTAAGCATACTTCCGTATGTGCAAATCTGATACCCTTCTAGACATATACACAATCTTACTATTATTTGTATTCAAATCATCTGTATATGTATAAGCAAAATATTTACATTTTCAACCATCCGTTTTAATATTAGCTACATTAATCACATCTTAATCCGTTGCGACTAGCTTAAAAGTATATAAATGGAAAAACGTGTCAATATCGAAGGGCGGCTCATCGTTACCAAATTATTACACTCTCGGTCAGGGTATACAAATATTTAGATATAGAGATGACAGCATGGGCGCGGACCTGGCCACAGCTATCTATGGAATGGTATTATGAATAATTAATGACTTGGTTGACAAGTCGAAACATTTCACTTTTGAGCCCGCGCCAGAGTGCGGACGGCAACTCTTGCGGATTATCTTTAAGATAGCTCTTAGATAATCATGAAGGTGCTACTAGCACCACTTGTGTCTATGCTAACATTTTCTTAAGCAATGTGTCTGCTGGCATCAACGTTGTCGCTAAAAAACTTTTTAATGAGCTACGCACGGAGCTGGGGCTGGGGCTGAGGTTGAGGTTGCCCAGCTGCTGTGTTGGGCGATGCGACGCCATCCATCCGTTAAGTTGAACGAAAAGCGCAGCTTTAAGAATGTTTCAACTAAATTATGGCAGCCGCTGGTGGCACTGATGACGATATTGGGGCTGACATCATGTTGTTTTGCAAATTGTTTTAGTGTCAGAGGTCAAACACACAACGCTGCGTCGCTACATCGCCATGTGGCACACTGAAGTGCCGCTGTAAAAAAGGTATTCTGACTGCCACTGCAAATCTGTTCAGCAAGTTTTAGTTTGAGCATTTTAGAGCAGCGGGAGAAGAGACACAAAAAAGAACGTAGCTCGTTAGCGGCGCCTGCCAAAAAGTTTGCCAGTCACGTCAAAGCTGCCAGGTTTTCCCTGTACTTGGGGGAATGCTGTAAGTACACGGCTGCTTTAATCCTGGTTGGCGGCTCATGGCTTGAAAATTCACAGGTGTTTCCAAGGTCCAACCATACCGACTGCCAGCGTCTCAAAATCCAGCTGCAGATGCCAAGTTTGCGTGTTGCCAATCTTGCTAACCAAGTCTTTTTGCTCTTTGTTTGCTTTGCCACTGCCATATTAGGCGTATTTCAAAGTTTAACTCACCTTGAAGGTAGTTTTTTTCCCGAGAGAGATACCCCAGTACTATATTATACAATTATGTTCCACAAAATGAAAAAAGCTTCCTTAATTTTATACAATAATTTTGTCTGTATACCGTTTGACAACCCCTAGCACAAAGTCGTGCTCCTATTCCGAACAATTGATAAATTATTTACATATAGGCAGGATAGTAGTGTCAATTTAAGTTGTTAATTGTAGATGACATGACATATATGTAAGTAAAAATATGAATCAGGGAGTTAATCTACCACGAAATTTGGAAAGACTATGGAATTTATTTTTAGCAGCTTAGTGTTGACCCAGTGCTATCCAGCGTCATACAAGTTATCAGCTAAAATCGGTAGCTATTTATATTGTTTAAAATGAAATATGTGACTTTGGTGTGTTGCATATTATGGGCTTTGGCTTTTATTTTTTTCAGCTTGTAGCCAAAACATTTTGATTGGGGAATGAGGCAGAATGAGACAAAGCGGGCCCATGCATATTTATATGTGTCGTAAAGTGCATTTAAATCAAGATGCGATGGCGTTGAAGTCAAGATAAATGGCCGCAGATACAGACTGGGCCTAGTAGACGGTAACTCTGTTGTATTTAAATGCGTGCGGTTATTTAATGACTTTGGCGTGGCATAAATAACAAATTAATATCGCATTCGCTAACAAGGTCACAGATGCCAGCTACCAATCGCTTAAGCTAATATTTGGTGGGGTGGGGTGTACGCTCTTAATCCAACTGCAGCCGACTGCGCCTATAAAAGCTGCTGCTTCTCCAATTCGCATCATTAGTTTGACTTCACAGCTTCAGTCAAGCAGTGGCATCAACATCAATAACAACTTACAATGCGTGGATTTATTGTAAGTTTCTAAGTGTTCCATTAGAGCAATGGCTATCCAGTGTAAGCTAATCACTTTCTGTTCCATAGCTGATTTGCCTCTGGGCAGCTGTTTGCAACGCCCAAAACCAGGGCTACAACTATCAGCCAGTGGCTCAAGTGGAAGAGAGAGGCGAAGCTCAGCTCTCGCAGCCCATTGAGGCGCCAGTTGCTGCTCCGGTTCCGAGCGCCGTTGTACCGCAGGCGGCTCCACTTGTCGAAGAGTTCCAAAAGGAGTTCTTCACCTATGGCGCACCCGAGGACCAGTTCGACGAGGGCGTCAATAATCAGCAAGTTGCCGACTCATTGAAGAAAAATCTCCGCGTTGTGTTTATTCGCACGCCCGAGAACCGTGGCTTCGAGCAGGCCGCCCTACAACTGGCCAAGCAATCTGCTCAGCAGGAGACAGCAATCTATGTGCTCAGCAAGCAAGCGGATGTTGGTAATCTGGCCAAACAGCTCAACGCACTCAAGTCGACTTCCAGCAACAAGCCAGAGGTGCATTTTGTGAAATATCGCACACCACAGGATGCCGCCAATGCCCAACTGGCTATTCAGAACCAGTACAATCAACTACCAGGCGTCTCACGCATCTCCAACGAGGGACGTGCTCCAGTTTTAAACTTCGCCTCGCAGGCACCTGTCGCGCCAGTGAGCGCTGCTCACGCACCAAGCTCAGAGTACTTGCCAGCCAATGTTGTTGCTGGACAGGATTATCTTCCGCCCGCTCTACGCCGCTTCCGCGTGAAGTAAGCTCTGACAGCGCATTCCCGATGGTTACGATTCCTACGATCATATACACACTTGTATACACCCGTCCTCACACTTGCCATCAATTCAATTATCTAGTTTTTAATAATCAATACACGAATAAAACTTGTTAACTCGCACATTTCAGTTTGTTCTGTCTGCTCATTTCAAGCTAGCTTTCAGTGCCGCCTAATTGGGCATCCTTTGTCTCATTCTTTCTGTCTCTCTCTCTCTCTCTCTCTCTCTCTCTCTCTCTCTCTTTCTCTCTATGTGCTCCAATTCCATTTGGTTGGTTGGCTCGTTTTATGTGTGATTTGTTTTCCAAAGTAAATCCTAGCCAACGGCTATGACTATGACTTCTGTTGGCAACTGCGCGGCGTCTGGCTGTGTATTCGTGCGTTGTCCTTTCATGGCTAGTCCTTGAAATAATAGCATGGATAAAACGGCAGGTATGCCATAAAGCCTAGCAACAAGTTGAGCCACCAACCAGCATAGCAGACTTGTACCATAGCAGACTCGTACACACGCTTGCACACATACCAGCGACACAGGCAGATAGACAGCATACATATGCGTAACGGCTTTAACCGGTCGCCATTTGTAATTGGAATTATTAGAATCGAAACGAAGTTGCTCTACCATGGCCGGAACCCAGTCTCGTTGCCAGCTGTGGTCAGAATAAGTGGCAACGTCCTGTAGCACCTGCGAATGAGCATGACTTCTATCTTGTGATCTGGACGCTGTTTGAATGTCCTCCACTGCCAACTAGTGCACAACGCTTGCCTCTTACACATGTGTGAGCGCGTGTATTATTATTATGTGTGTTTGTGTTTGTGTGTTTGCTTCGATGGCTTCCGGCTTCCGTAGTAGGCAAACTCGTCTTTTGAAAAGCCTCACCAAAATGACCAAACACCCAACCAACCCATCTGCTGTACATGAACTATGCAATGAATTTAGAATGTCGTTGAGAGGAGTCCTTAAATTTCACTTAGATGTAACATAAAACTGGCATAAGCGCAACTCAACGGCGCATGTATTCATGGCCATGACGACATCTGCTATGGGTGTGTGGCTTACCTATCTTTCCAGCTGCATGTGTGTGTGTGCAGAAATCACACGCTTATCAGCAGTCAAGTGCAAGCTGAATCCGTTTACTAGCGCTGTGCAAAGCAAGTACAGTGCCAAATCGCTAAAGCGTAACGGCAACGACAATGTGGCACGTACATTGGGGCAACGGAGCAACAGGGCAGCAGAGCAACAGCAACATCAGGAGCAGCACCAGAAGCAGCGTCATCATGAGGCGTGGTAATGACAGCCCAAGCATAAAAGCCGTTTGCCTGCCTTCCATTTGCCGTCTGACTGCACTCAGACTGTTGCCTGTAATTAAGGTGATATGTGGCAGGCAACCAACCGATGTTGCCTCGATGTTGCTGATGACGATGACAAGGCCGAAGCCGCCAAGTGCGTGCTCTGTGCGTGTCTTATGCCCGCCGGGTGTCGGGTTGCCAACTAAATATTACTAAGTGTGTGTGATGCGTGTGTGTGTGTGTTAATGAGCAGCCTTCTGTGCACACCAAATAAATTATTAATTCGACAATCGATTTGCTCTCAAATATCAAAACTAAGCAGAATTTTTAGCAATATTCTGACACTTTAAAACTCCATCGTTAAATTCATAAGAGAAAATATTAAAACAGGTATATTTATTATATTTGCTCAATCAGAAAACATAATAGATACATAACTAATAGTGAGTTATTTTCGGAGCTTGTTGACAGAATCTTAATATATTAAATATCATCTCGAAATACTATTGATGCTATTCGATGATTGATATTGTATGATTGTGTGGACATTTTGTAAATATGTTTAATGTCTGAAAAAGCATTATTAAAGATACCTAATATGAATGTAGCCTGGCGAAATATTCATAATGCGTGGAGTTGGATATGTGTGATACACCCAATTTAAAATACCACTAATCGATACTGCTGCTGTATTATCAAAAACCATAGCATAATTTCAGGCTGCTCACTCATAACTAATATTTTAAAATTTATAAGCTACTTTATTTGCCAAAACTCTGTCACTCAGAATGCGATTCGCACTGAGCATTAGTATCATCTGAATAAGCTGGATTCTGTGACAAATCGCTGGAATAATACAAATTTCATGAAAAGCGAGGCAACCGTCGAGCACCCCTCAATCACACAAGCTGACAGCTGCGGTGAGCCGACCCAAAGCCCAAAACTGAAAGCAGAAAACAAAACAATAAGTAAAAACTGAAATTTTTGTTTCTATGCGCGACATTTCTGTTTCGATTATTTTGCACTTGTTTGTTTTTCACTGGTAGCCAATATTTCTTTTCGATTTAGCAGTTGTGCGTGCTCTGCCCAAAAATTTTGTTATAAAACTAAATATTTTCGCATCTGTTCCCATGCGGGCAACAGTGTGTATCTGTAGGGCACAAATTGAAATGTGCTTGAAACATTTCGTATCTGTTATTGTTTTACCCGTGTGTCAGTTAGTTTCTTTACCTTTCAGGTGCAGCAAACTTGCAGCCACTCTTTGTCGTTAATTCAGTAAGCGCTTCCGGCCCTGCACCTCCCTCATTGTCAACGGCAGAACCACCAACATATGCAGCTTGCAACGGGACGAAACCAGGTCGCAACCAATGCAGTTGGCAGTTGTACGCAATTTTGTCGCTGTCAAAAAGTTTAACTGCACGTGTCGTTGCTTCTGCTACTGTTGTTACTGTTTGCAACAGTTTCTGCTGCTGGGGCTGCTGCTGGGGCTGCTGCTGCGGGCACAGTTTTGAATTTGTTGGAAAAGTGTTTATTGGTTTGCAATTCGCAAGAGCCACTCTGTGCAAATTGAGTTTTTCGTTTGGCTCTCGATCAGCCCTTGGGACACAAGATAGCTTGCATGCAAAGCAACCGCTTGACTGCCTGTCGAAACTTGCCGCACATGCTTCCAGTTTTGGCTCATTAACTTTGCTACACTCCGAGCCTTTGACCCTCTGTTGCTTTGGCTCTCTGTCCCTTCGGCTAGTTAGTTGGCTGCTGCATATCAATTAGTTGACTTTTAGGTGCTGCCATGTATAATTGAACAAGTTTGAGAGTTGAAGCCTGGTTGAAGCTGTGTGGCCAAACTTATCGCTGGGCAAACCGCATCCTGTTTGCCTCTTTCACTCACAATCATGGCTCATTAGCAGCTAAAGCTGTGGATTTGACTACGATGGCCTTGGCTAATTTAATATTTATACCTTAATCAAGACACCAGGCAGCGCTTTTAACGGCTTCCTCCGTATGCCGCGGCGTTAATTGACCAATTCCATTCAAACCTGCCATCTGCCTGCCACAGCTGTCTGTCACACGAAATTTTCAATCGATAGAGTACATCTGTGACCAGTGAAATACAAACAAACACAATCACACACGTACTGCCTGATATATGTGTATATTTGTACAGCCAGTGGCTTTGATTCCGTAATGAGGCAAGCAGACTCGTTGCACCTTTGTAACGCCCTGGGCATATGAGGCAGGAAATGGGAGACAGCAGACGGACCGTGAGACAGACGTAAAGGCTGTAGTACAAAAAGAAAATGGCTGTAGCTTTGTTCGTGTCCCTGGCCGGATGTGTTTTATGGCCAAGATACCCTTGATTCACCATTTATTTCGTAGTTTATCCTTTCGTTGATTATTGCACAACATTTGCTCGCTCTCTGCTGCTGGTACCCCCTTTGTAATTTTGTCAGACTTTTGACCTTATGCGACCTTACGTTGTTTGCTTTTGTTTACGCATTTCATTGTTGAGTAGCTCCTCCAATATCCATGCACACTTAAAGGTATTACAAGGATATTCGTCAAACACAAAGTTCCCCAACTCTCAACAGATTTATGTATGTTTCTGTCTGTGTATTGTGCTTTTGAGGTTGACACATCTTTATCTTACAGTGGAGCTAAACTTAGCTTTTTCTTAAAGAGCAGCGCTGGCAACTTTTAAGTATCTGATTGAAGAAAATGTACACTTTTCAGTTTTCAACATTTATTTTATAATGTTTAGTTCATTCTTTTTCCACAAATATTTGTATTCATATTTTATAATTATTATATATCAATTTATGTGTATTAAATTGACTAGCCAAGCAGGAGGCGTCATATTGAGAGCTGAATTTTGTTTTAATTGTTTTATTTTCAATTTACTTAAACCTTAAATGTTTTCCTTGTTGTTTTTATTTCAACTTTTTGTATTCGCCTTGGTAAACCTGACTGCTCAACATCGAATTGTACACATTTACTCGTATATACTACGTGCTTAATGATTAATAATAAGTACACAGTTACGTTTTCATTATCTTTATATATGAACTTTTTATGCATGTAATTTGCATAGGTTGCAATTTTTACAAGTGTATCTTTGATGCGCCGTTTGGTATGCCTGTATTTATAAATAAATAAATATTTACGTAGTTGTTAATGCTTACTTTGTGGTACAATAATTTCATCATTGTATTTCCACCGCTGTGGTTTTTTTAGTAGCTCTTATTAATACTATTTACCTATATCTTAAGATTTATAGTACAATTTTCATTACAATATATTATTAACAAAGGGGAACAGAATAAAATTATAAATAAATATTAAATTAATTACATTGTTGACATGTGTATAAGCATGCATTTATGTATATTTAATATTCTATAAATCGAATAAATTATATATGCTTTTTGGTTGTTATTTTGTGTAAGCGTGTAAATCGAACTCTGAGTTATTTTTTTTTTTTTTGCTAATTTCATTATATTTTGTATAGCTTACACACTTGTGATATATATTTTTAATATATTTTGTATAAATGTTGGATTAATACGCAATGATATGTGTAATTGGAAGAATCGTGTATTTGTGTACATGTATATATGCATTTGTGAAATGATGTAGGTACCAGCTGTTTCGATTACAAAAATACTTTTAACTCGAATGCACTTAAATGTGCGTTAGTGTTGTGAATGCCCAAAATGTGACAGACGTACCCTTGGCAGACCAAATATATGATTACATTTATGTGATAATATGATATTTCAAGAGAAATGAATGTGTACAATATGAAGTCATTTGTGTATGTTATTGTACACAATTTAAAGAGGAACAAAATTTGCGATTTTCTTTTTGCTGTTCAATGAAGACTCAGTTAATTAAATTATGCTAAGTGAATTACCCCCGCTACCCACATCGATGTTTAACTGTTAATTGTCACAATTGTCTTCATTGGATGATGTGGCTTGTGGTTTTTCAGTTTCAGTTTCTCACTTGCAGTTGCTCATTGTAAAACCCTCAATAATTTTAATGAAATCATCAATATATGTGAAATAATTGTTTTCTTATAATTTGATTGGAAATTCGCTTACCAAGGTATGAAAAGTTCGTCGGGCCGAAACTTATATGCATATATGATTTTCTTTATGTTTATGTCCACATTAACACAGAATATAGTACAACATTTATGATATGTTTTGCGAATTGCTGTGACATTCAATTACTATTTCTTTTTTTTTTTTGAATGTTCATTGAACTTGTTGATTTTTAAGTTTTCGGGTTTCCCATCCCGTACACACACACACTTATGCAAGTACATATTTACACAATAAATATATATTTTATTTGCTTACATTTCTTTACATTTATAAGCAATATGCATGTGATATTATTATATTTTAGTTCAATGCACGGCCTTATCTCTGAAGAATGAAAGCGTTTATACACGAATAACAGACATCAGAACTGGAGACACAACACGCAGACTTACATATGTATTTATGTATGTATGGTATGGAAAGGTATGTATTGTATATTGAGACATTCAGAGAGTATCGTTAGATGATATGATAGATTTGAATGTGTGATATCAATGGAAAGAAGTGGGAGTCTTGCATAGATTGGTGGGAAATATTAGACCGTAATCTTCAACATAATGACGCTCATGGTAAATATATTCTATTCCTAATAAAGAATTGTGTGGAACACCAAATTGGAAATAATAAAAAAAAAAAAATATATATATATTTCTCAATTTATGTAAAATAAAGAACATTTTATAGGAAAGTAACATAATTTAAATGAATTGACACAATTCTGTTAAACAAATTGAAAAAGCAATAGTCCATAGATTCTCACTTAAAATAAATCATTTATAGTTAAAGCTTATATTTTTGCTTATAAAATCCGAGTGTTATTTATCTGGCATTCGACACCAAATTAACACGATCTTATAATGGATTTAGGTAATGTTATCAATTTAACACACAATATATATGTATGTATGCATACATTAGAATATACCTATGATCTAGCTTTTATTAATGTATATTTTATAAACTTTTTCAATTGTTTTACTTGTTCAGTTAATAATAGACAGCGTAGCATAGGAAGACGTCAATACCTGCATAAGACATTTTAGCCATATCTTTAATATATAATATGTACTTTGTTATATCATTTTGTAACTATATGTTTTGCTTTTTATAAAAAATGTTGTATGTAGTTCGTTAAAGCATTAAGTATACACTACTTTAATGCAATTTCTCTGATATTTTCAAATTGATCTGAAAGTAAGAGTATTTACTGCATATTTGTAAACTAATGCTTTGAACAACCATTAGAAAATGTTTCAACTATTTATTCCGAAAATTTGTTTATGCGGACTTATTGGAGTTATTTCTTTAGCTACTATTTCAAACTGTAGGAAAATTTTCGCAGGCGTTATAAATATTTTACATTTTTTTTCTGTTTAATTTATTTTTTTGCATTTTCTTCAATTTGGAGTTAAAAATATCTGCCTATCAGCTTCGTGGTTACACACTCCCGTAGACGCATATTTATATATAGGTGTATATTGTTTTATCTAAATAAACTATAGGTTGCTACTTGCTTTACACATATTTACTTTGCGCTGTGCAAACTGTGTTTTTATTTATGTTCTTTGTCTTAGATACTATACATACATATTTCAATAGAATGTATGCTACGCGTTAAGAGGTTTCCATTTAGCAATAGACATTTAAAGCGCGTTTAAAAAATATCCTATTAAATATATACTTTTACACATTCATTTACCGTAGCTCACCCAGAAACAAACAGTGAACATCAAATGAAATTATTTTCCTAACTACTCGTACATATTAGTCGATTCATTTCAACAATTACCATTTACAGGGGGCAATTAAGGGCTAAATGAATACAAATAAATAAGCTGTGTAAGTGTAGCAAACTGAGTGTCCCCCGACACCCGACAAAAGGAGCCGCTTTCGCATCATCGGGAGGTCACCCATTTAAGCTGACCCTTTTTAAGTTTGCCACGCGGCGCAGATTGCGCCCATTTCGACGCCTTTTCTTCGTTTGCCATTTCATTTGTTGTGTTTTGTTTTGTTTTTGTTTTGTTTTTCCTCGAAATGTTTTCAACACTGATTGTATTTGTAAGCTTCTTGGTTTAACTGTCTAATTATTTTACATTTAAACAATTAATTTTTGTTTTTTTTTTGGGGGGGGGGGGGAGGGTGGAGTAATTATTTTTTGTTTTTGTTTTTGTTGCTAGGGCCTAATTCAACTTTGCCTTAAACTTAGCGTTAGATTTGCCATTTCGCTGATTAGCCAAAGCATTACAACACCATAAAAAATATCATTTGTTCGCATAACTTTTTTTGTTTGCCTTTTAGGTACATGGGCCCAAGAAGTCTAACGACTGCTTAAGTTTGCAGAAAACTTTTTTTCCATAGTTAATTTGTTTGTTTGATAATTTTTTCGGTCGGAACATTTGCACAAATATTTGGCAGGGCCCAAAAACATGTGGCGCCCATCCAATCTAACTGCATCTGTCCGTCTGACCTTCAAATACAAAACTAACCCCATGTCCAATTGTCAGATTGTTTTCTCGCTGCGTTAAGAACTCTTTGGGAGGACATGGGTTTTATTTTTTTTGGTATGTTCAATTGTAAGCGGTACAAAAATTTCGGTAGGCTACAAAATTGTCTGCTGCTGAGAATGAAACTTCTTTGCTAACATTTGACTGCAACCGAATTACAAATATTTATTTTTGTGGAATTGCAGCCCTGGCAATTGTTTACAAATATACTCATTATTTTAGTTTGCCAGAACAAGACAAATAGTATTATTGTTTATGCACTCGCTCGAAATTGTTCGCATGCTTTCCTCATATTTTTGCTTCACACAATGAGTTAACTTTCCAGCTTAATTACACTGAAATAAATAAAAATTGGTGTACAATATGTGTGTAAAATCCAACTAGCCTGTATGGCTTGTTGATATTGTTCTTGCTTCTGCTACTGTCGGTGCAGTGGGTGTCCTTGGTTTAATTTTTATTTTTTTTTGGTTAATGTACCTTTTTCTATGTCGGTGGTTTCTCTCCTACAGATTGAAAGCAACTATCGCTGCAGATTCTCCCTAATAGCGCAGTGGTGGGAGCAAGAATATCAGTATTGGCGCCAGAGACCACAGATGCGTCAGGATAGCTCCACGCGCCCTCCATCCGGCTGACGTCTCGTTTCCATGGCCATTACCATTGCCCAACGCTGCCATGCCAATGCTGGGTGGTGCCGTCGATGTAGAGGACGCCTGGTGTCCTTCCACCTCGACTGGAATGGTCGGAATGGAGAAGAACATTTTAAATAAATCTTTAGAAAGTCAAAAACAATGGGTAAATCAGGTGGAAAAGGTACTTTGTATACTACCAGCGGTCAAGGTTACCTAACAAAATTAATTAGTGCAGCTAAAAGTCATCTACAGAAAGACAGTGGGATTTTAAAGCAGATATAAAAAAAAAACACATCAAGTTGACAAGGGCGCCGTATAAATAATGAATGTGGAAATAGCTTTCTGTAAACAAACAGAAAAATTAACTAGAAGTGAGAAGTAACGTACAGAGAGAAATCTGCACAGGGCACAACTTTAGTGATAGAATAGTTAATTGAAAAGAATGCTTCGGCCCGATATCAATAGAGTTCTATGTTCAACGAAAATGTGTGGCAGCAAAGTGATAGCCGGCCCTTAAGGCTGCATAAGAAACAATTAAGGATCGGAGCACACTTGACTGTGAAGTGGCCAAAAACAAACGACGCACTTCACGCAATATAAATAACATACGCCCCATAGTTCAGAGGACAGTATGAACGGAACACGCCGTAAGCAGCCACCGGCGATGGCAACGGCAAACGACCGTCTTGAGTCATGGGCCTGGTAATGTGTAAATTATTTCATACAATTTGAGACAATTTACAACACTGGCCGAGTCAACGGCTTTGCTGGCTGAAACAGCACACAAAGCCTGGTAAATATATGAATTAACTTTTGTTATCCCTCCTAGCGATGCAGGAGTGCGGGTGCCATTAAGCGAAAGTTAAACGTAGGCAAACAAAATAGGTGACACACGCCCAAACAGCGTGAAATGGGAGTGGAGGTGGGCTTAGGAAGCAGCTGACTATTTGACTGTAAAGCGACAATGACAGAAATATAAATTACGGCTACATTTCAAAAATTCAAAATGCCAACAGCGTTGCAACGTTGACTTTTGTTTTTCGATTCAATGTGAAATTGTTCCTGTGCCTTTTGTGGTGTTTGGTGTTTTTGGTTTTCTTGTCTACATGAGAGTCATCATGATGAAGGCAAACATAACAATAACAATGGGCACGCATTTAGTCTAACCCAGCAGCCGTACAATGCTAATTTATTTTGTATAAATTCGGCAGAGATTCCTTCCGACATTCCATAATCCACAGTCACCTTGGGCCAGCCCCGCCCTTATGCAAACCAGCTACATTTTTGATGAGCTCATTGCTGGAGCAATTTTACGAAGCGAAGCCCAAAACAAATATTTTGCTTGCATAATATTACACGCAGTGTACAATAAATATATATTGTACATATATACTTGTATATCATTTACATACTTATTCCCATATATACATGGTAATACTTATATGCATATCACGCATACGGTGTGCGTTGTGGCACTCACCTTTCACCGAATACGTTTTGTAATCAGCATACTGCTCTCCCTGCCCAATAGTCGCTGGTATCGTTGAGAGGCATGTGATCTCCATGCGCCCATTGCTGCCAACATGCTGATCCGTTATGTCCAGATTAAGCTGACTAATGCTGAACATGCCCTTCTCCTGCTGCGCTGCTGTGACTGCAGCGGCTGCCGCAGCCACACCACTGCCCCCGCCAGGATGAGACAGCGGACGCTGATAGCCAGCCGCCAGCTGGTTCATGGGTCCTGAATTCGACGGGATGCCCAATTCCTTGTTCAAGTTGGGTGCCTGTGGCCCAAATCCGCCGCTGTTCAAAGTGCTGCGTATAATGCCCAGCGCGTTTTCGGTAATATGACGACGAAATTTGCGGTTTGAATTTCTGAAAAAGATGGGAATGGAACGTGAGTGGGAAAGGTCAAAAATGTTCCTGGAGGTGAGAATCATTCGGAATGACCATCAGCAGCACTATGCCTGAGCTTAATGTGCCAAACACCAGCAATTTGCGCACAAATAAAATCGTAAATATTTGCATTTTATGATTGATGTGCGAGAATACGATAATCCAAACATGGGCAAGTTTCCACATGCCGGTCACGTACTAAAACGAATTAAAATACAATCTACTTTTATAAACTTATTTGTAGTTGACCACACAATCTGCTGCTCACTACAATGTGGCTGGCAAAATTGTCTTTGGATCGATGTTAAGGTCATGGTGTGAATATCTCTGCTTTACTGCGTGTATGTGAAAAAATGTCCCAATAATGAAAAATGTTCCTAAAAATAGTCTTGAAACGATATTTATTAAATATTATATAAACCTGAAATTCGTTGGTTCAATTGAGAGCAGACAACAATTTTAGCTAATTTCTTTATTTATTCATTAAATAATATTTTAATAAATATTAAATAAATATTTCCACCAAATTTACACCTGTTAAATGATTCATAAAATATTGACTGGAGAGCTCACCATCGCAACTATGCACTTACAATTAGTTACTTTCCTTCACTATACTCAATTTTACTGATTAAATGAAGTACATCAAACACTATAAGCTACATACACAAATTTTAAAGTGGAATTGCTAAACTTTCGCGACAATTTCTAAGGGATTTTACCGTGTGGGCATACATCATTCACACATTGAAAGTCCAATTATCCTTTACGACTTTGTTTCATATTTGATAAGAAGCCTGCGCGGCATATAAATGAGTTCGAGTTGCACGGCGAGATTTCGATGGCTGCGGCGGCTTCGTAATTACCTCAACCGTGCGTGCGAGCGTCGACGTCTGTGACGACGTGTTGCTTTATTACAAATGCAAAATGACTGCGAAATTACCTGCTTACCCACAAGACATATACACACACACACAGAAACTCATACACGCACAATGCGTGAGCCGACACTTGAGAGAAAATAATGTGGGGACCATAAAGTTTTATGCATCCAATGTGCTGGCAAACCAATTGTCAGCTGTGTTAGTTTAAAGGCCCAGTGTCATTGGGCTTTAATTGTACAGTGGCGCAAGCAAACAACAAACTAAGAGGTTTTTAAAAATTTTAGGAGATGACATTTCAAGCGGAAGTAATAAGCTTATTTCCGTCTAATTTAAGCAATTAAATCATTTACATTGATGCGGCTGCAAGAGTATATTCAAATTTCTAAGCAAACGCTGCACAGTATCTGAAAATAATATGTAAATATTGTGTAGCTTGGAGTGGAAATGCAAGCATCCTTGACGGAGCCAAAGGATGCGCAGTACAATTTTCAGGGCCCACAAGAGATATCATGTACATGTACAAACACTGTGATTGTGTGTGTGCTACTCTTGAGATGCTTCCGCCAGTTGTTAGCCAGCTGAACAATATGAGCAGGGGGAATGCAACGATATCATAAGACTATCTGCAGTTGTTGGTCGAAAAGAAGAAAAGACTTATTATCTAATCTAGTAACTACAGTTCAATGTTAAGAAAATGCAATATTTAAGCGAACTGCCTTTTAACAACTGAAATATTTTAAAATTCATATTCTCCCATTTTCTAAAAGTTAAGCAGCTTCGAGGAATCATGGGAACTGTATGCACTTCACGCTCAAGAAAACAAACAATTCCAACACATTGCCACCGGGGAAGAACTTAAGAAACAGCAGCAAAAGCAATACAATAACAAGAAAAGCCATCTGCTGGCAGACAGCATCAGCATCAACAGTAAGCTAGTTTAACTAAGAGCACAAACAAATGCCGGGCAAAATTCAAAGTAAATGCACAATATCCGCATAATCCTTTGACAGCGATGCGTTGACGTGCCTGGCAGTTGCAGCGGCAGGACCAGCTGAAGGAAGCGGAGCAGCATTGAGGCAAGCAACAGCTGCAACTGAAACATCATCAATGTGACTGCATGTTATTGGTGTTGTTGTCGTTGTGTGGCATTACTGTTGCCATACTTGTTGTCTTAATCAAATTCCGTATGCAGCGTACTTTTCACTGGGAATACTACAATCGACGCAGCCAGGATGCAGAAGTTGAAAACATAACAAACTTGCAAAGCAATGCAAATCAAGAGGAAATGCGGGCACCGGCGAACACTTTTTAAATATTTGTAGCAGACAAGTTATGAAAATACTATGACACTTTAATTTATACCTTTAACTGTTTGGCAACATATGTTAACTTGGTGCTGACATGCAAAGCCATTTTCTTGGCCTGGTCCTATCGTAGCCATGCCCAAGGCGATAATTTGGGAAATACACCTAATTAATTGGAATATCATGTTGTCTGCTGCTGCTGCTGTTATTGGCTTATGTGTCTGCTACACCAGCGGCAAGGGTTTCAGACTAATATTGCTAACAAACGCAACCAAATGAGTTAAAGGCACAGAGGCAGCGCATAACACAAGAAAACCTTTTAGAAATGTATGGTAGAGTTACCCCAGTCTTTAACACACCCACAACTATGCACAGCAACTCGATATACCGGCCAGTTCATTTCGGAAACAAGGACTCTCATGAGAAACAAGGAAAGTAACTTAAGTGGAAACAAAGCAACAGCTACGTGCCAAATCCCATGAATTTCTTATATTAAAAGTCCTTTGTAATCGAAAACCGGAAGCTGAACTAACCGCAAGTTGGCTACAGCATTAAGAGCGAGCAGGGCAAACACCACCAGATTAGTAGCTCAACTTTTTGCAAACTTTCGAAATCTGCAACGAATAACGAAACGAAACGCAAATCTTTGCCCTCGGCTAAAAGTGCTTTTCGATTCGGGCGCAACATTTCCAAATTTTCTTGTCAAATCACTTTTGAGGTAGCTCCACCTCGACTCGAATTAACTACTCAAAAATAATGTTTTGTGATTGACAGTGACTTACATTCAAATTTGACAAGACCTAATGGATGATTGTCAATTCCGACTGCTTTATACACTTCTTACAACCAATAATATATTTTTAGCAACATCATCAAATTGAAAAGGCCGTAAAAAACATTTAAAATCAATACATTTTTTTAGCTCTTACAGCAGAGTATAAAAGCACACGCCAACAAGCGCCGGTTATAAGTTCAGTCGGTCTACAATTGGGTCAACTGAGGTCGTGGGGAGCAACAACGGTAACTGTCATGGGCATGAAATTATAACTGACACTGACAGCAAAAGATTTTATGTCTCGTCGCGGCATTCCAGTATTCTGAATAATTTATGCACTGCTAAGTGCCTTGGCGTGCAGGGAAGCGATGAAAGAATGGAGGAGAGAGTGTTCTCGCTCATCAGTTTTGCATTTATTTAAATGGATGAAAAGGTTAGATTCATGTTGGTAAGCAAATACAATTGAAGAAGATACACGATTAAACGATTTTTCATTATGAGAGTTAAAACATATTAGTGGCTCGAAAGATAAGCCTAGGTACAGAACATCTGATAGTGGGGCATTCTCCTTACACTAAAAGCACGTAAATATAGATAATGTGTTTAATGTAATGATTTAATAGAAGAGCTCAAAATCCAAAAGGCATCACTTTCCATTGGAACAGTCCTTTTCCGGAGACTGTGAACGCTGCCAAAATCGATCGGAAAATCAACAGCGGACAAATCTTAAAGCATTTTGTTCATGCTCATGTTTAAAAAAGTTTGCTGACAAAATATAGGTATGACAATTGTCGATCCATCCCGATTGACAATGTCTCTCAGTTTGCTGACAGTTGCCCTTGGGACATAATTATGCACTCTGCAATTGTTTTTGCCTCCTGCTTCGTCACTGCTAGTTTTAAATTTACTTCATGTGGCCTTCAATGGGCTAATTTGCTTAATTGCGCATTTATCGTTAATATACTGAATACACACATACATAGACGAGTGGCTACATAAGTAAACACGTATGCCACTTTTGAAGCTCACATTCCCGTAATTAACTTAATTGCATTTCTATTGATTTTCTTGCAGCTTGTAAACAAATTCGTCAAGGATGACGTGTTAAGTGTTGACTCCATTTGGAACCGTTCGCATAAGACTTTTTTAGCTTTCTATTTTTGCTCTCTTTAATTGTGCAAACCTTCATTTCGTAGCAATAGGATGACAATATCATAAATATAAGTAGCAATCGATATTTACCAAAAGAAATGTTTTGCTTAAGATTCAACTTGTGCATTAACTCTTTGCAGGCACTGTCGGTTTGCAAAATCAATAAGCCTAAGACAATGCAATAGTATTTCGAATCCAAAAACATCCAAAACGAATGCGGGTAAAAGTATACCACATTTTTCACATAAAACTTATACTTAAATTTCTTGTGGGTGCGATTGAAAGGGAACGTGAAGTATTGAATTTATTATATTATATACATTTTAATAGCTATTAAAAAAAAAAACTCTAAAGGCCAATTTATATGCGTAAATAAAAATGCATAATAGAGTAATAAAAATAAATCTTGAATCTTGATTTTAGACACATTTAAATGAAGACACGAACTGTGAAAATCCATTTAATGAAAATGGAAGCGTCCCGTGACCAATCAGTTTTAAGCACATACAAACAAAAGTAAACAAAGTGTATATTATATGTTTATGTGATACCACTAATTATATGCACAAACAAAAAAAAAACAACACCAAAATAAATAGATATAAAACGCTGAATTGATGGTTAACTATTAAACGCTGCCTCAAGCGGCGCTTATTAATTTACATAAATACAGTCGTGGGTTGGGTTTTTTTCTTGTAATTTTACGAAATGGCATTGCTGTTTGGGCCAAACAACAGATACAGTTACAGTGGGCTTAAGCTAACGAAACGGCTTATTGTCGCATTGATTTGTGGTTTGTGGCAGTCAGTTCCCACCGTTATTGTGATGCTAATCGATGAAATATTTAGCGTGCATATTTTAGGTATCAGCTCAATTTCCGAATCATTGCCCATGTAACAGTTTTGACATTTACTGTTTTTGTTGCTGTTATATTGCAGTGATATTTTGCAAATGCGTTGATGCTTAAAATTAATTAATTATGACTCCACAAAGTGGCCAAGAATGCAAATTTCGTGCTAACCACGCGAATACCGCTTGTCATTGCCTCATATGGGTTACCTATGCGTTTGGCGGGAATGTCAAATCTCTCAAACTGGCGTTTCACTTGTTTTTTTCATATCGTCTGAGTTCGCTTCGGTTCGCTTGATGCAGCGAAATTTGCAAAAGGTTTTTGATTTATGCAAACTAATTCGTTAGCGGATATGTCTGGCCACCTTAGCATTTTACGTCATTTACAAAACTCCAAAAGCCATAAGGTGGATGAGCGTCCAAAATAACAATAGCCACACACAACGGCCACCGACTGCGCAATCTGCACAAATCTGCAGATCCAATGGGCGGCTGGCATATTACTGCCGGTTATAAAAACGCCCATCGATTGCTTGGCCATCATCACACGCTTTTCGCATCTCGAGGCGTAATCACGCTGGGTGACAAGCGTTGACACTGCATCGGAAATTGGACTTTGAAGCGCCACAGACAAATGCGTGAATTTATCGTAAGCTTAGCAGAGATTTCCCAGTTTTTGATTTTGAACAGTTTAATTGATTTAAATTCTGTGGCAGGTCTTAGCTCTGCTGGCGACAGCCAATGCAGGTGAGAGCGGATATAACTACGGAGCGAAGCATAGTGGAGTCTCTCTGACTGGTGGCTCATCTACAGACTATGCGCCCAACAGCCAATCAGATTACATCAATACAGAGTTCAATAAAGAGTTCTTCACCTTCACAGCACCTGAAGCTGATTTCGAGGATAGTAGAAGCGTCGACGACTTAGCTGCATCACTGAAGCGCAATCTACGCGTGCTCTTCATCCGTGCACCTGAGAATAAGGGACTGGAGAACGCTGCATTGCAACTGGCCAAACAGTCGGCAGAGCAACAGACTGCCATATATGTGCTGACCAAGCAGGGCGATCTCTCCAGTCTTGCCAACAGGCTGCAGAACCTCAACCACATGAATGCCAAGAAACCCGAGGTGCACTTTGTCAAATATCGCACTCCCGAGGACGCGATAAATGCACAGCGCACCATTCAGCAGGAATACGATCGCTTGGGCGGCTCCTCCACCTCTCACAACCCTGGCATTGCGCCCGTGCTAGACTTTGCCACCAAGCCGGATGGGCAACGAAATCAACAGCCACTGCAGCTGGATGAGCGCAGAGGAGACATTAGCATTGATGCTATTGGTGGCAATGGTAGCGTGGGCTCTGTTGTCGCCGAACTGGAAGCACCCGCTGAATACTTAGCACCAGCAGCTGCGCCACCTAGTGCCAACTATTTGCCTGTGAAAAATGCCTAGTGGGCGGGGCCACTCTTCTAAATCAGCCAAATTGTAATACTAAGTTTTGTTCTTAATGTACGTTATAAAATACAAATTTAATTTTATGTATTATCGCTGCAGTTATTGTTCGTGTTAAAGTGGTTGTTGTTGTTACTCCCCCATTCTGATTAATAGCGTATACAATTTCAGCGTCTTGTTCTAGCTGGTATCAGCAAGCACTTACCCCTGCTCTCCGCTGACCACGGCGCCAGCAATTAAAACTAAAAGCGCACTGGCATTGGCCTGGCTTAAAACTGGCCTGAAATTAAAGCGATTGCCAACTGTGCCAGGCATTCCTATAAGCCGCTTCCAGTATCCCCTTGCCCAGTTCACTGAATCCCTCGTTCACAATTAGTGGCTCGGTTTATGACACGTTCGCGTCGGCTACTGCTGACCCGCCCTAAAGGATTACTGCCACACACGCGATCAACGGCAGAGACCAGCTAATTATGGCCACACTGCCCCACTGCCTCAATGCCACACAGGCAATTTCTTGCGCCTCAAGTCGCCGAGTCGCGACATTTAATGGCCGCCCTTTTGAGGGTCAACTCAGTGGCATTTTCAGCACACGAAAAAAACAAACGAAAGACGAAAACCACACTGAAAATTAAATGAAAATTACAAGCTGCACTTAAGGGTGCGCCCTTTGCGAAGTAGAGCAACGAAAATCTGACACACAGTAACAATAAGAAAACAAAGTTCATTTGGTATGTCATTTAGGTAGCCATCAAACTATACAAAATTATTTTTACGATCATCGTTAATATTAATATTGTGATGCAAAGTGATGTATATATATATTTATATATATTTTATATATTTATATATACATATTTACATGTTTTTATGTTTTTGTTATTAATTATTGCAATTCTCTTTACTAGCTGTAAAACACTAGAAATGTACAAGTAATATCACATTGTTAATCAACATCTAGACTTTAAGCACTATTATGGGTTAGTTGTAAAACAAGTCTTACAACATTGAAACTTGTTGTTGTTCTTATGTTCGCAATTGAAAGAAATAAAGGAGATGGCACAAAAGGTAGGCATTTAGGCTGCATGTTCAACACCCTAAATAGACATGCACATTTACACTTTGGTACACATAGATATCCTGTACATGCATATGTATGCATTTATCTCGGCTAGCTTGTGTTTGGCACAATGGACTTACGTGTTGCACAAACATAAATTGTGCAACAGCGTGTAAACTACTTTTTGACTGCATAAAATGCCCCATTCATATGCCCTTGCCTCACTGAGTTTCCTGTGCAAGAGCCACCTTTCTCTGACGTCCGTCCCCCCGCCCCCGCTGTCGTCCTGCCACACACGAGTGCACATTCACCGCTACGTGTTATGCCCTTTATGGCCGTGCCACTGTTGCTGTTGCTGCTTCTACTGCAGCTGCTGTTGTTTTTGTGTTTTTATTGTTACAAAGTTTTTGCTTTCATGCTGCATTCTTAAAGGGTATTCAAGTCAAGCAGTTGAACAAAACTTGCAACCAAATGGCTGCCATTCACTCATCTGTTTAATGAGGCAATGTGCAACTCAATGTGGAGGGCATCACAGCGTTTCAATGCCTGTGTTTGAAATGGCGCCAATTATTTCATCACATTAGGCGGTTAATTATGCTGTATGACCAATGGCACACATGGCGCATACTCGATATACTCTCATAAGTGCTGCAAGGTCGCTGCTCTGGTCCCCCTTGCATTTCATTTGCATAAAATAACATATATAACGCACACATACAAGCCCATGCCAACATTCTCATACACATACGTGTGTGTGTTTGTTGTGGAGTATATTAAGCATAAACTTAATAAACATCGCAGTACACGTCACGACGCATACACACATACACATACACACATACACTCTGCAATTTATGAACACTGTTGCATAAACGTGACTGTTTTTTGCTACCTTTTGCTTTTGTTGGTTGCTGTTGGTGCTTGCGCATTTTATAGTTTTTTTTTTACTTCATGTTCGAGTGTTGCATAAATATTCGCCAAGTTTAACTAGTGGGTGTGCCAGCAATTACGCCCCCCGTAGTACACACATTCGTAAATATTGTGCAGCCTGTAAAAGAAACTATGAATAAAATCCACACAGGGTGTTTTCCAGCCAGAGTGTTAACTAGAGACCTTATCAGACTCCCATTTTGATGGATGTGCATCCATCTTAATCTTAATCTTAACAAATGGTCATACAAATTTGGATGACATTTCATTAAAACCATGTAGAGTCATTAGTCAACAGTGCTTGTTAACCTTAACATTTTCTCAGTTAAACAATTTCATAGTTTTTAATTTTCAATGGCACCCTGTATACATTGTGTGGTACTTTCAAGGCTAGAAAGGGCACTACGCAGGTGCCTCGCACCCGTAGCCATCTGGCTAGCTTATGCTCTGCTCTCGTGAGCGAGCTCGTGCACTTTGTATATAAATTATTGCTTATTAACGTTAAGTATTCAGCAAAATTAGTTTCCCACACACAAGCAGCACACACATGCGCTGCACTATGAATTGTGGCAAATTATACATAAAATGTTTTTACTTTGCTTTTGATTTCACATTTGCACACGGCAAATGCAATTAGCGTGATCCGATTGCCTGGTAAGGAAATGTTGCCACAGTTAATCAAGGTTCACTTAAGAATCAATTCACCAAGTGGCTTTTCTGTGAATAAAACACACACAGCACTCACAATTCGAAAATGGAAATTAGTGTGTGTGTGTGTGTGTATGTGTGTGTTGCATGCTTACATGCTGTAGGGCTTATGTGTAATTTCGCTGAAAGCTTTTCTGGCAACCTGGCATAGTTATATAATGCTGTTTAAAACAGTTTGAGGTTAGGATTGATGTGTGAAACAGCTGCAAAATTGTCATACAGTAAGCGACCATATTTTGATACAAAAATAACTGCAAAATTGTCATCTGAAATGCCGATTGTCTAAATGAGAGTATTGAGTTGACTTTAGGCTGACGGCATAAGCTGCATTTGTATAATTATCTCACAGATGTCTTGGCATGCTCTACTGCTACTCTATTGTTTTGATATGGCACTTTATGCTATGGCCATTTCAGAGCTGGACTCTACGATAGCCATATATGTGTGTGGCATATTTGTAATGCGTACTTCAGTTTGGCGCTTGAATATTTACACAACTTCAAAGACCAAGTGCAGCAGCCGGGCGAACTCTGGTTTTGCCTGTCATTACACTAGCAGCACATACACAATTCAGCACCATCATACTTCAACTTACATACACACACTTAAGCACACACCTGTATATGTATACGCATGCTCATGGCTTTGAAACTTGAGCTGAAAAAGTTAGTATATTGGAAAAGTTTTTCTTCTTGATTTTTAATATCACAGGTGAGCGTAAATAATTTATTACATTCATTTACGTTTCACTTCCAATAGCGCAACGCTAACATTTTCAACAGGCAACGTGGTGGATGGCTGGCGAGAAGGAGAAATGCTCCCTGCCACAAAATGTATTTATACGATCCACAATAAAGGCACAAAGGTATCGGGCATGTGGAATGAGCACTGGCAGCCAGTCAGACAGACGGTTTTAACAATGTGCCAACATCGCGGCACATGCACAAGCCAAATCCTTTTAGACCATAGATAAGAAAACTTTAATAAACACGCCACACACGCAACCTGGGGAAATTGATAAGAATATGAAAAGTTTGTGCTGGGCACTGAGCAGCTGGCTTGGTAACCAAGGGTAACCCGCTGGAGGACCAAGTATGGGAAAGGTGTAAAGTGTTTTAGGTATGGTATGGGATAATGGGTGAAAAACTTTTGCATACTTTTAGGAGCAGCTCGTCGTATGCTTTGCTTTGGACGGCTAAAAGTTGCTGCGTTTTAATTTGTAAACCCCATAAATAAAATTCAGTTTATGCCAAGCATCCCCCAGGGACGGGCTGGTTTGATTAATGGCCCGGGTCGAGACTAACCTGTGCTTCTTCATCTCCATCTGTTGCTTCTTTAAGTCGATATGCTTCTTGTTCATGTCATAGTTGCGCTGGTGTATCTCATGTATTTCACCAATGTCGTGATAATTGGCCAAGGAGCTATACGGATTGTTGTAGAAGCTACCGCCGCCGCCACCGCCATGATGTCCATGTCCGTCGTGCCCATGATGCGGCGCATACTGCGAGAATTCATCTGCAATGTCAGGAGTCAAGAGTAACAATCAGAATCGGGCCAATTAAAGTAAACGTTGCAGCAAACTGCAAACGAGCAATGCTGCTGGCTCTGCACTCAATGACAAACTCGAAATAGTTACATATTTGCACTTTTTGTGCTCCGTCTTCTGTGACCATTTATTAAGATGCTCTACAACTAATATATACTCTACCTATATATTTTTTAATTTTTTATATCTTTTTTTACAAGTTATAAATGCGAAAGGTATGGTATCCATCCAGCTGAGTACTTTACCATACTGACATACTAAATAAAAAATATCCTTTTCTGTCAATATAGTATATAATGGGAATACACATATTTGCAAACTTCAATTGTCATTTCAATATTGTGTTTTTAATATTAAAATATATAATATAATCTACCACAATTAATAATGCTCTGCTAATCTACTACTTTTGTTAAGTACTCTCAAATGAGATGCTTACTTAAAGGGCATAAGGACAAATGATTGCAAACTTGCTAATGAGAGAAGTTGTGGCTTACTCACCTCCTGGACGCGCGCCCCCGAAGCGGAGGCTCTTGTCATAGCGATCGATGTAGTGGTGCAAATGATACTGGGGCTGGTACTGGTTGTAGTATTGCTGCTGATAGTAGTGTTGCAGTTGCTGCTGACTCAGCTGCGTCTGCTGGTGCTGCTGCGTGCGGCGCTGGTGCTTGCCATTGAAGGAGTACACATGATGGGTGCGCACGAACTTATCCTCAACCTGTCAACAGTTCAGAATGGCGGGTGGCATAATAATAATGTTAGCTTGCAATGTTAAATAAAGTGAGAATAAAAGTCATTTCAATGTCAAACTTTTTGCATACGGCTGCAAATTAAAAATGGATCATAACACAGCGGTCAAATCCCCCATCATTCACAACATTCCCTTCCTCCCAACCCACTGCTGCCCCCATTCGCAGTTACATCCTTGAAAGCCACACAGTTACGATGCCCGGGCAGATGGTGGCCGACGGGGTGCTGGTTTATGAATAAATTTAATTTTAGAGTTTACCATATTCTGTGCGCCAGCGGTAGATATAATAAATTTATTTATATTTCATTTCCCATTCCCTCGTCTCATGCTGTTGTCGGTTGTGGTTGTTGTTATTGTTGTTGCCGAGGAGCAGCTGCTGACCCACACTGACTAAGCGTCTCGGACGGGGTCAGAGTCTGTGTAATTAAAATGAAAGCTCCGCGAGCCGCGCATGTAGGCTATAATTATAAAATGGCTTAAACTGATGTTAATCTTAATGCACCAGCACTGGCATTGTGTCGTCCCCTGGCAGTCATTTCATAATCTATATATATATATATATATATGTATATTCTTATAATATCCGCTCTGGCGAAACAACATATTGTAATTGTGAATTCTTATCCACTCTCCTGATTGCTCAACGAATAAAATTCAGGTGCAAACAATTTACCAGCCGTTGTGACAATGCAATCAGGTAGATGAACAGATGTTACAAATACACACCTTTTTCCCATTGATAAGCCATGTAACGTGGGGGGCGGGGCGTCCGCGGGTAGTGTTGCACAAGGCGAAGAGCTTCTCGCCAATTGCGAAGGGTGTACGTTTGCGGAACTTTATGGTGGGTGGCCCTGTCTGAGGCACTATAAACGGCATTAGAATACAAAGAAACAGCAATTAGGGTCGGCCAGTTGAAATTGTTTCGACAATTGTTACGCACAGAAAACGCTCATTAGCTCATCAGCACTGGCCTTGGTGAAGATGGGAGTGTCCGTTGAAACCTCGCAGAAAAACTGGCCCGACAAGTCGAATTGCACATCCTTGAGGGTTACTTGCGTTTCGTTCGAGTGCTCCCACTGTGGCGAGAGAGGAAAACCAATTTAATGACTTACTTTAATAAGAGCATCATTAGCCAATAACTCTAGTTATCGGCCTGCTATAGTATTATACGTAAGGGCATGATAATTAATTGCAATCTTGCTAAATGGCTCTCGACAGCTGTTACAGTCGGCGCAGATTTCGCAATGTAATGGTTAAGGCCAGAAATATGTATCCATAAGATTTTCTGTGCTTCAGTCTAAATTATTTATTTATTGACGCCTTAATTGGTTTTCCAAGAATTGCGGACAGATTGGCTCGTTATGCATTAATCTTGTATTAATGACTTCTTTTCGACCGGGCTATAATTGTATAATAATAATCGTTATCATTTTGAGAAGATAATTTAGCGCTCAAATACAAACACAAAATAATATATTAATTTCTAATCACGATAACTATGAAAGTTATCTGATCAAATGGATTTTAAAATTAAGTACACGCTGGCTTTAATCGCTGACATTTCACTTAATTATAAAATACACTTTCAATTAAGTTGAATGGTTTAGTTTACTGGTTTGCAAAGAAGTAATATTATGCTATTTATGACTTAATAATCTTATTATTATACTTTGGCTAATTATATTATCCCTTCCTGCTTGGTTAATCGTAAGAAAGTTTAGGCAAAAATATTATAAATCATATTTGGTCGACTAGCATGGTAACAATCAATGCGAACAGAGTTATTATGTCAAACTTATATTATTATTTATTTAACAGTGGTATTTAATCTTTGGCTGCTTGAAGTTAACTGCTCTCGTGCGCCCTTCCCAGGCAATTTGTGACTACTTACATCGATTTCAGCTCCCTCAATGGTTGAGTTCCGAAACGGTGGATTGCGTCCACTTATAAACTCGAAGAATTTGCCCTTGTCAACCTTCAGCCAGGTCACCTGCAATCAAACGAATACATTTTAGCATATTAAAATAATGGTGTGTTCCTATTTTATTGTTGCCACGCTGATGTTTCTGACATTGATTGACTAACTGCTTCAGTCTGCAGCTGTTAATAATCCTGTATGAGCAATTTGATTGCATACATGCCCGCACAATTGGACAAACGATGGTGAATGAAAAACAAATAACAAATGAAAATAAAATGAAAAGTACAAAACAAGTGCAATGCAATTTAACTTTACAACAAGTTTCCGTAACTTTTTGCAGCGACAATTAAAATGCGCGTTAATCTGTAGAACTGTAAATAATAGAATGTTCTATTGGAATGCCACCAGCTAACGTCACCAACAGGCTGAGGGGGAAGTGCCATGAGCAGGCTAGGACAAGTGCCGGTGGGACGTGATGGTTGCGTAATTAAAAACTGGATCTATGAAGCAACATAAATGGAAAAAGTAACTCCCAGTGAAATAGCGGCAAGGGGGGCCGGGCTAGAAGCGACTTCAGCAAATATGAACACATAATGTAAGCGAAAAATAAATTTGCAAGCGCAACTTAGAATTGCGCAGAAGTTTTACAGTTTGGGGTGGGCGGCAGAGCGCGAGACAACCCTTGGGGACAGGATGTGAAGCAGAAAAATGGTGCGGATTAAAAATATAAAATCTACATTATTTACTAACTGCACTTTATATTAAGGCTTTGGTTTTACGCACCAGATCAATTAAATGGAAACGTTTGCTTATATTTAATGCATTGAGACAAACTGCTTAATTGACGTCCTGCATACAGTTTACATTGATGGCGTGCGTGCTAGTTAATAATACTAATGTCCTTATTGAATATGCCCGCGTATGGCATGGCATATGCGCAATTTTGGCCGCAAATGTCGTCATTACTCACGCTTGTGATCGATAAAGTACACGCTTCTGGTATATGGTGCTATTGTGGGGACAAAGCAAACATCAACATGCAACCACTGAACCATTCGGTCGAACATAACCATGTTCAAGGGCCCCCTTCAAATGCCCATCAAATTTTATCAGCCACTTGTGGAAATTTTTGAAGCAATTCCTCTTCATATGACATGAACTCATAATAATAGCCAATGTGCGTATAGCAAAGTAATCAAACAGCCCTCCCAACTGCGACAGTATCTGGCGGTTGTAACACTGTCCCCCACTCCATCCACTGCATCTCCGCAGGGATCGCTGTGCTCCTGCCGTTGTTGTTACCGCTGTTGTTAGTGTTGGTGTGTTTGACATGTGTTGGCTTTGGCGTGTCCGCTGTGGCGTGGTCTGACTTTGTGTATATTTTGTTTGAGTTTATTAGCCCGCTTATTTTTGTACTCAGTCGGCAAATCAAAAGCTCACTTATGTGCTCGGCATGTGAAGCGTCAGCCCCGTCTGTCATTCGCAGTGTAATTAGTTTATTTAATTTATATTTTTTTGCGTTGCTTTTGTACACCCAAAAGTATGCTCCAACATGTGTAAGCCGGACGACGGGGCTAACTTCAATTCCATGAGTAACCGTGTTCGCATTTGCGTTTTAATTGCCTTTTTAGTGCCACTTCCACACAATTTGCCACGCTTCGTGCAACAATTCGAATCAAAACCGGCTTACGGTGTGGTGCCCGAGTGGCTGGCACACTCGCTTATATACACAATTATACTAATTAGCCCTTGCTAGGCGGTTGTAGCCACCAAAACGGACAATTGGCCAAATAATATAATGTCTGCATGTAAACATGGCAAATACTGCGTTTATTTTACCGCCCAGCTAATTGTGCAAATATACCGTTACAGATATACATGCATATACACTTGTAAGAGTACAGAAATACAAAATAGGCTTATCGGGTAATAGCAGGCTATCATATAAACGCCCCAAGCGGATTCCTTACCAAAAAAATAATATTATTAATATTTGAAATTCCAGCTAGTTGCATATATACATATAACATATTTCTATATCATCGGTAAAGTAGTTAACTGACTAAATATAAAAAAAATGTTTATATTTGTTGATTGTTTTTCTTTAATATAGATAAGGGCACACTTAACCGAAATGATACAATAGGCAATCAACGTATACCTATATATAATATAGAATACTAATTATGATTATCGCTTCATGAATTCACAAATTAATAATGGTAATTTTTCGAAATTATCCCTTTTTGCTATCAACACGAAAATGAATACGTATTTGTACATTAATCAGCGGAAGATATCAATCGTCAAAATTACTGCCCGTGGTCATTCAAAATTTAAGTTGCTATTGTCAGTACTTTAAACATTTTCAAGCAGTTTCTTAAACCAACACCAAAAACATTTAACTATACATATGCCACTTTAAGCACAAATCGTGATTTTCATTTTAAGAACATGTCCGAATGCTGTGCTCGAGTGAGCTCGATGTATCCAAATTCGAGAAACGGATACAGTTATCGATAAAGTGAAGCAAACTTTATCTGCGCGTGGTATACGAGAATCCATATTCCGCATCTTCTCTAGCTCTTATGGCCTCTGAAATCTGCGAACTCACACGGACAAGGATATATGTATATACTTAATGAGGCCAGAAATGCTTCCATCTGCCTGTTCCATGCAGTTACCCTCAATCATCATACCCTTTTATACCCATTTTGAATCAAAAGCAACTTACTTTAACTTAATTTCGACATCATTTCGAAAATGTCAAGCTCAACCAAAAATATAACTTTTTCTTACAATCACAACATAATAAACTGGACAGAAAAATTATTCTGGACTTTCGCTGAAAAGATCTTTACTTGAACAAATTTATTAGTACTTAGCTAGAAGAATTTCAAAGCAACTACTGTCGAAAAATAAAAATAAAAGCAACAAAAAAATCAATATTTTGTACGCTTCTAAAACACTTAACATCGTGGCATTTTTGCGCCATAAAAGTTGTATGCTTTTATGGTACTTAGAATGAACAAAACGACAACCTCAAGCACAACCTCCATCTCCACATCAAGTTCCACCTTAACATCCAGGCACTTTTGTTGCTTGTGGTTCCGTTTGAGCCTGGGCTTGTGCTTGTGCTTGGCCTTGAATTTGTATGCCACAATTTGTAGTAGTCCCACAAAGTTCGAAACTAAAATGAAAGTACGTAGGCTGACTAAGTCGGGCAGTCGACTACCGCCTGGGTAACTGTGGCAGGAAAAGTAAGCAGCTCATTTGCCATGAATTCAAAGACGTTTCCTTCGGGGCCGTATGCCTGTGCGTGTTACCTGATGTTTCGTGACAGTAATAAGAGACTTGAAGTGAAATTAATTGTCGCAACTGTAACTGTAACTAAAACTAAAGTCAAAACTATGGCGGAAGTTACCAATTCTGCGGGTCGATGCGCCGCTCATTGCTTGCAACCTTTGCCTAACAACTGATTCTCTTGATTGTTGCAATAGTTAATATCTGGCATACAACCGGCACCCCATCTGATGGGGTTAGTCTTTGTCAATGTCTTACACTTGCAACACAAAGTAGTACAGGGCTAGAGAAGTTGCCATGTCTTGGCTGCCATTTCAATTTCAATTTAAAGTTTTAAATGTGATTGCAACATGCACCATTAATACTGTGGAATTTAAAGAACAACTATCAAAGTTACCATTTATTTATTTATTTGCATTCGACTCACCTTGAAAAGAATTTCCGGTATCACGTTGTGACGACACTTGAACGTGGCACTGGAGCCTCGCTCCACATACCTCGGCACCACCAGCTGCACTTCGACATCAGATTGTCCATCTACAAAAATTGAGCAAATAAATTCGCATTTAAAATTGCTGCAAAGGAATTGTTAGGGCAAACCCGCAATACAGGATTCGAACCCGCTGAGCAGCAACCGCAATGACGCTCAATTGCGGCTTAATTGAAATGCCATTAAAATGCACACGCAAAAGGAAAAGCATTTATTTTTAAAGAACAATAACAACAACAGCAAGAGTCTGCCCTGTATATTGTCGGTTCAAGGGGTTGTAGGACCTCACCCGATTTACGACATGAACGATAAATCTTATTTTGTTTGGCAAAGTGCACATGAGTCTTTTTTTGCATGCACTTCGAATAGGTTTCTGTGCGTGTGTGTTGAGTCTGTGAATGTGTATGTGCTGCCGTAGAGTGTCAAATATGTACGAGTGGCATGCAACGGCAGCTGCCGCTCTTAACGGCTCACTGTGACTCGTGAAGCCCTTTGAGGCAATTTACCAACATTTTCATTCTGCTGAATTTGCTGGGCAACACCTGTTTCAGCACTCATTTTAAGAGGGCCGGCAATTTTCAGATAAAAATACATTTTTATTTTGTTTATCAACAAAAAAAGGGCGTTAAAGTGTAATCACACAAGCAGCCAATTTTAAAAGAAGAAAATGTATATAAATGTAAGCTATGTGCATTTTACATTCTCCACTTGGAAAAATTCGACTTGGGTCATTTACGCCAGCTCAAATTTATTTGTATACTTGTTTTTAAATATACAAATTAATTCTGATATAGTGTTAGTCATAAGCTGGTGACTTTAATCTCAGTTTAGTTAAATACGAGCACAAATCAATATTATGATTATGAGATACGTGGAAACTAGTCTAACTAAGTTTTTTAAAAGCAAACTTAAAATAACTCAATACATAACCCATGATAACTGGATAGATAGAGGCAGCACAGTTTCTAGAATGGTGGTTGGTCGACGCTAAGTGCACTTTAATAATATATAGACTTGTGTAGGCATGTGATATTGTTTAGTGGCCATAATTTGCAAATTGGCCGCTAGCAAATCGATAAATTAATTTGCAATGTGGCAGTGAGCGGCGTCGCCAATTCCAATCATAATTAAGACACCAAATGGTAAAAAGCAAACACATTGCCTTCTTTACTTGGGTGCGGAGGGTGGTAGGGTGGGGCAACAAAGTGGAGCCAATTTCATTTTCATTTATTCACACCACGCGGCTGTCGTCAGTCACGCAAAATGTCAACGACTGGGTAAGTAAAAAACGTGTCAGTCGTCGCGAAAAATATGGAAAAAGCGGAAAACAAGAAAACCAAATGAAATGAAGCACGTCAAGTGCATGACAGGCAGAAGGCAGAAGGTAGAAGGGGAAGGCGGGCTAGTAGGCAAGCCGTCAAGCATGGCAACGTTGTTGCCCTTTTGGTTGGCAACTTGTTGCAATATCCAACAAACATGCCACGCTTTCATTGGTTTTGTGGCATTGCCTACAGCATGACGTCTATCGTGCGTGCGTTTGTATGTGTGTGTGTGCTCATACGGCAGTGAGTGTGTGTGCGTGTGTGTAGACGTGCTCGTGCTGCACGCTAACGAGCCGTAATTCACGAAATTCAATCGAACCCAGCTGGCCAAGACGCGACATTCAAGCCGCAGCAAGTCAGCAGCTAGCAGCTAACAGCTAGCAGCCCTACAAGTTCACACTCATCTCCCGATGCTGCAGGGTCAAAGAGCAGACAGCAGTGGCACGAACTCAAATCCGAATTGACTGACTTTTTGCCAGTTCGTGCCTTGATAATCATGTCAAATATTTGGTATTAGCGTCGCTACGCTCATCATCAATTTTCTATGACCAGCACTGGCAGATGTCCAATACTTATTTCAGAAATAAAATAAAACAAAATAGGAAAAAATGAAAACAGAAAATGAAACAAAGTTTTCAGCTCGTTCGCTGACAAAGATGTTGACCAACAACAATTATTGCTTTGCTGTCTGCCAGTCACAAAAATATTCATTACTGCTCCTACCGAACCTTAAAGTTAAACTCTTAGCTTGACTTGACAGCCTGGCTGCCTGTGTTGCTGACTGCCTGCCTGGCTGACTGTAGTTCTTGCGAGTTGCTTGTTGCTTACTGGCTGGGCTGGGCTTGGCTGCGAAAAAAGTAACACAAAAAATGAGCTCACTTTGACAACGATGGCGGCAACATTTTGTTGTACGTGGTGTACGTGTTTTACAAGCGGAAATTGATGATTTTCCTTGAGTTGGGCGACAATAAAGCGTGCAGCATGTCAGCAAAACGCAAATAATCAATCAATCAGCATTAATCAAGGCGGGAGTGGGCGTGCTATGCCAACAACGATTGCAACTGTTGCCCATGGCTGGGTTTGGCGGCGCATCAACATGAATATCTAAATCAGCATTTTTAATATGCTGGAAAATCAATTTAAAGAGTACCAAAATTTGTGAATTCATATGCATATGTACAACATAGAAAGTGGTTTTGGTTTTAATTGAACTTCGAAATTTCCAATACAAACATAAATCGAGTTCAAACAGCAAGTAGAGCCAGCCTTGTAATCCAATTACAACGTTTGCTGTTATGATTGGCATAGAATCCATGCAATGAAAATAACTGGCATGATGGGTTTTCCGACATGGTGGTGTTCAGTGTGATGCCCTAGGCGTATGCATTGCATGCGACCACTTCCAATATTTAATGCGATACAAAAATCTCACCTGAAGGGATCAAGTTCAAATATGATCACAGAGTGTTTCCGTAACTGCTGGTAACCTTAATTTCCTGCATGTTTACAAAGTGGTAATGACCAGCGACTGTCATTGGTGATTCTATCAAATGCAATGTATTTTCTTAGAGCTGAGAAAATCGATTACTTTTTCCACTCCCAGATTTTATTTCAATTTTTCTGCGGCAATAAGAGGATTCAAAATTAATCCATTGCAGAAAAGTTTTCCATTTCGCTACTGCTTATAAAAAATGACTTAAGGATATTTGTATACCTGGCGAAATTGTTTCGCACCTTGACTAGATACGATTTTTTCAATCCGGTTTACTTTGGGCTTAAGCTACTGCCGCTGCTGTCTATCTGATTCGTATAGTGAATAGATTCATGTTGAACATGGTACTTAGACAGCTTGGTTAACTAACAAGTCAGCATGACGATGTGTTAAGCTGTTGTCTCAATTTTTGTTTTTTTATAAGATATTTGTAAAAACAATAAGAACATTATATTTTGTAGGATAATATTCATTTTAGAACAGTTTTCTAAATATTTTTTGAGAGTGTTTGAGAGCGTAATATCTTTAATCAGCTGCATGACCATTCGATATGCGCTGTAATTAAAAATCCATAAGACAGTGATTGATGGCGTCGGATGGACAGATAATAAGGATAACTTCAGTTTTGGGTCAGCTGGTGGCATGCGAACCGTTTACCTGTTGGTTGGTTAGGCATTAATTGGGATAACATAAATAAATTAGTGGAACAAAAATAAACAGAAAGAACAACAATGACCGAGAAATGAGCGCGCACCGAAAGCCATAACAGAATTTGTTGTTTGATTGTATTCATATATTCAATTGATTGCTAAATCAATATTTAAACTTTGCCAGCTTGTCCTGGCTCGCAATTCGCCTCAGGACCCTCACATAAACACCGAAAAGCAACGAAAGCATGAAAAAACTAGGGCGGATAACCATCCAAAGTTGTGGCCCATTGGTTGGTTGATCGTCGGGATGTGGCACGCCTGTTGCAGTGACAACGCAGAACGCAATTATAGCACTCAACTTGGAGTGGTGGTGGCGCACAGCTCAGGGCTAACAGGCAGGCGCCTGTTGGCCTGTCCAGCTGCTGTCTGTTTTGGCTGGCTGTTGACCAAACACGCTGTTGCTTATCAATATAATGTTCAATCATTACGGTTGATTGACAGACCAAGCACAATGCATACTACCTCAACACAGACACACACACCCACGCAGAAGCACATTCTACAGAAGTTCATTGACGGACAAACTTGCCAATCTAATTCTGCTGCCAGTTTATTTACTGGAATTGCATCAAAATGCGTTGCTTCAATTAAGTCAATGATATTCACAACTAATTCAATTTATAATTGATTATTAACCATATGCTTGTTTGATATTTGCGAGTTTGTTAAGACGAAGACGATGCGGCTGTTGTGGCTCGAATAGAACAACACAGCATTAAGCAGGAAATGCAAATATTTTCAGAACATCTCACATATAGACAAGCAAACAAATCCACACACCCTCACACCTACATCCCATACCTACCCTAACAACAAAGAGGAGGGGAAAAAAACTTTATATAGCTTTGTTTAACAAAGGAATGGATAAAGGATAAAAGTCGTCATGTTGCAGAGGCATTCGTTGGGCAAATTTCGGATCCTATTGCTCTTGTTATATCTAAAGAACAAGAATGGGGCTGGAAATGGGATACAATGGGAAGGGGTGCGGTTAGGCGGGCAAAGTAAGGTCTGCAGGCAACGCGTCGGTGGCATAAAGTAATTTTATAGAACAAATCACAGGCATTAGTAGATATAAATCCCGTTTATCCTTGCCTGTGTATGCGCGCGTGAAATTTAAATATGTAGCGGACATAGTCGCCAGACAGAGACAGAGCAAGATAAAGAAGGAGAGAGTGAGAAAGTGGGATAAGCAAACGATTTCAACAATAGAGGACACAAGAAAAATTGCCGAATTTGGGTAGGAAGTGGCCTGCACGCTCCTTGAACAACGGACGGGTGCGAAATTCATTGCAAAAATATATTATATACATAAGTATTTAAGCTATTGTTTTTATGAGAGCTAAAACGCCTGCGAATATTCTAGTATGTTAGTTATTATGTATGCTTTCTAATTTCAAGCCATTGCCACAAGTTGGCATTGTGCAAAAAAAGCTATCCGTATATCCCAGAAGTGAACTAGTTTCATGTTATATTCTTATTCTGCAAACTTTTGAAATATAGATTTCTAATTTGTCATTTATGAC